AGGCTCTGGTGTCACCCTAGCAGCCATCAAGGGGACTCAAAAAGGCAGGTGGTGGGAGGCAAGTGGGAGGGAAGGTGACCCTGGAATTCATATGCATGGCACCAAGAAAAAACTGCCAGCTCTGACCTCTCCCAGCTCCTACCCGGCAGCCCCGTGCCCTGCTCCAGGCTCCAAGCACAAAGGACAGACACACACACTATCCAATTTGTCACACTTCCACCTTCCAGGGAGAGAGGGAGGTGAAAGAAAAAAAGAAAAAAAATCCCATTATCTTTATCTGTCCTTCCCATCAGGTACGGCAGAAAATGCAAACTGGGAGACAGCTGCTGTGAACTCTTTATATTTCAACTCAGAAGATAGTGTATCTTTTTACTGCATACAGGAATTACTTATTTGAAAAAATATATCCTTTCAGTGCGACTTGAACGGCAACACAGAGCAGGTGGCGGAGTTCCGGGGGCTATTGATGGAGTTTATTGCATTAAACTGGAGGAATCTCTGCAGGTTGTGGCCTGCGGAGGACACTGCCTGGGAAGGGAATGGGTATTCGCTCCACCTCCCTGCTGTGTGACCAGGGTCCAGGCACTGTGCCTCTCTGAGCTGCAGATTCTCCTGTGCAGTGGGACAGAATGGCACCAATTATTTCCTCTGGGGAGTGTATGAAGGAGACAAAAAGAGTCCCTTGGCTCAGAAAGACAGGTGTCCTGTCTTTTGCCACTGTGAGAAGAAATGAGGAACTCCCAGGCACATTGGTACCCTGATGCCTGGCACAGAGCTTGCCCCAGGGTAGGCTCTTACCATATGTTTGTTGAAGAGGGGGTCCCTGTACTTGACACCTGTGGGTGGAGAGGGACATAAACCTGGTGAGGGCGGCCTCGTGTATAGCAGAGTGGGGTGTCCTTATACCGTGCTTTGAGAGCTCCTGAGGCCCACCTGCCCCAGCATGGTCCCCATCCCCTGGCCTGTGACATCGTTCCTTCACTAGATTCCAACAGACTGAAATGAAGGGGGGCCCTGTGCCCTTCACTTTGGCTCCTGTGACATTTAATTTTATGTGTCAGCTTAGCTGGGCCACAGTGCCCAGATATGTGGGCAAACATTATTCCCGATGTTTCTCTGAGGGTGTTTTTGGATAAGATTAACATTTAAATTGGTAAACTTACTCAAAGTAAAGCAAATTGCCCTCCATAATGGAGGCGGACCTCATCCAATTAGGGGAAGGCCCGGATCAAACAAAAGGCTGACCTCCCCAAGCAAGAGGGCATTCTGCAGCAGATGGCCTTCAGCCCTGACCTGAGACACCGGCCCTTCCTGGTCCTGCAGCCTGCGGGCCTCCCTTGCAGACTGTGGACTTGCCAGCCTCCATGCTAGAGACTGAACGTTTGTGTCCTCCCAAATTCATCTGTTGAAATCCTAACCCCCAAGGGGATGGTATTAGGAGGTGAGGCCTTTGGGAGGTGATGAGGTCATGAGGGTGGAGCCCCATGAATGGGATTAGCGCCCTCATAAAAGAGACCCCAGAGAGCTCCCTCCTCTCCTCTGCCATGTGAGGACACGGCGAGAAGGTGCTGTCCATGAAACAGGAGGCAGATCCTCCCCAGACACCAAATCTGCGGACACCTTGATCTTGGATTTCTCAGCCTCCAGAACCATGAGAAATAAATTTCTATTGTTTCTAAGTCACTCGGTCTATGGTACTCTGTTATAGCAGTCCGAACAGACCAAGACACTTCATAATCACACAAGCCAATTCCTTAAAACAAGTCTCTCTCTGTACCTATGCACATGATGTATATACACGTCCTCTTGGTTCTCTTTCTCTGGAGAACCCTGACCAATACAGTTCCCCATCTTGGTGCCTCAATGCCTGGCGGAGTCTGGTGAAGGGCTGGAGCCGCGGGATTGGGAGAGCTTCAGTCCAAGGAGCAAGGAACACAAGCGTCGAGAGGCTAGGCCAGGCCAGGGGCCACAGGGATGGTGACAGGCGGGGGAGGGGAGTGTCCTGGATTTACTTAGGATGATTACAGAGGCACCTTAAAATGTCCTTTCCTCCCTCTGAGCTGGGCTGGGAGAGGGGTCCTGGCCTTGCCGGGGGCTGGCATCGGGAGGGGAAAGCTGTCTTTGCCCAGTGCTTTCAGCTATGGGCGGAGGAGGCATGGGGGAGTGAAGGATCGGTGCTTGGCTGTCTTGCTCCTGTCCGACGCATGAGCCTGAGGGAGTCCTCTCTGTGTCTGCGTCCCCTGGGTGCCATGTGTCCCTTTGGCACTGACTAATTTTTTATAACAATCACACATTTGTAAATTGCTCCTAGGCTTTCAAAGTACTTTTACCCACACCACGGGAAAAACTCGCGCCTCTCTCTCCCCTCGGGGCTGGGAGGCAGAATCCAATTGTGTGGAAGAGGCATTTGGGTCTCGGAACACTCTCCTTGTTCTGCAATCTGGCTTGGGTGGAAAGAAGACCAGAGCTGTGGGAGCAGCTCCAAACCCTGGATTCAACAGAAAAGAAGGAAATTCCTCAGAAGAACACCCATCACAGAGGCCGTGTCCCTAGTAGGATGGGGCTCTGAGGCTGGACCTGCCCCAGGACCCTTCCTTTGGCTTCTCCCCTTTCTCCATCCCTGCTGTGGAGGCCTTGTCCCTCCAGGGTGGTCCCTGGATCCTCCCAGAAGCACTTGTGATGGGAGAGGCAGTCCCTTTGTTCTCTTGGGACCTGGAGCGTGAGCAGTCGTGGTGAGCACTGTGTCACTGGAGGCCCAGCCCCTCCGAGGAAGCAGGTGGCCTCTCCCTGGCCCAGCCAGCCTCAGGCTTGAGAGAATGCAACCCTCAGGCAGGTCCTAGTTGCCATGCAGCCCCTGGGCTTCCTTCACTTATGGTGGATGGCAGGAAGCACTGCGGCCGTTGGATGCGGCTGCCTCCTCTCCAGATGGTTCACCACCATGGCTGTGGGAGGCTTCGCATCTTTCCATTAACCATCTGCTTTGCTGGCCCTGCAAGCCCAGGCCCTTTAAGGGAGCAATTTTCTAAAGCTAACAAGCAGCTGCGTCCCCTCCCAAGCTCAGGGTGTGTGGATTCCAGCCGGGGAGGGCAGCTCCTGAGCAGCATCCACCAGCCATGACATGAGCTCTCTCCCTCATGGGAAGTCACGCCATTCCTAAGCATCGGAAGCACACAATCCTATATGCACCCCCGCACACGAGCTCTTCCTGTGTTCTCGCACAACCTTTCCAAACTCAGCTTCCAGCATGAAGATATGGGGCCTTACAAAAGCTCCTCCTCTTGGCCCTACTGTGCCAGGGTTACCTCCCACCCATTTTGCAGATAAGGACCCTGAAAAGCCAAGGGTGGACCCTGCCATGGCTCCCACACATAGACAAAAGAAATGGTGAGTGTCACCTGGTTACTCTGGTAGACTCAGCTTTCCCTGGGAAACCCATTAGGCAGCAGCCTCCTTAATTTTTTGGAGCAGGGGGAACACAGGGGTCTTCCTTCCCAGTAACCGTTTTCTTTCCCACTGGTTCTAGTTCTGTTCTCCCACAGGCCCCTTCAGTTCATCATCATGGGATCTTCATGGTGGCAGAATCACCCACATGCAGACACAAATGCCTACTCTGATTCTAGGGACCAACGCCCCAGGACGCACACGTGGGCACACTGCCCCAAACTCCCCCCACTGACTCCCACATATGCTTCCTCCTTGTCCCAGAAACAACACAGCAGAGACAAAGTGAAGGGCAGCACGTGCTCACCCAATTTCTCCCCCTGGGCGTCGGAGCTCCCGGCACAGGGCCAAACACAGCCCACCAAGAGCCAGCCAAGAGGAGATGGGGTCAAGTACAATAGTAAGAACTGAGGTGAGTTGGAAGAGCTCCCCGGTCCTGAGTCTTCAGGCATCAGAATTCCGGGGGGAGGTGGGGCAAGGCATTGGGAGGGGATGAAAATTCCCTGTGGATTTCAGCAAATAGCATAGATGCCCATCTGTCTTGGATGGCTTAGCTGACGCCAGCTTAGAGGCCAGATGGATGGATTAGTGGCCTCTGGAGGTCCTCCCACCCCTATGTTGCCACGAATCTCCAGACACAAGCACATACACACATAAACGCCTTTCTCTCCAAGCCCAGGATCAACAAACAGGCACAGACCATTTCCTGACCAGTATTATTCTCATAATCAATAATAGCAGCAGCCAATACTTACTGAGTATGTACCACGGGTCAGGTAGTGCATTAAGAGGGTTTACATGCCTCATCTCATTTCATTTTTACAACGAGGCAGGCACTTTTATTTATCTCCATTTTATAGGCAAGGAAACTAAGATGCAGAAAGATTAAGTAACTTCACCAAGGTCACACAGCTAGGACGTGGTGACCCCAGGACTCAAATCCAGGCGTGTTTGATGCTGACCCATGAAGTGGAGCAGCCTCTCTTCAGCCCTGGCCTCTTCAGAGCTGGGGCTCCCCACTAGGATTTCCCCAGGACAATATCCTATGGAACACTCAGCAAACCATAACTGGGTCTGAGTACAGCTGGCCCTAAGTGGCATACCCTTTTTATATAGGCTATGCGATCTATTCATGGAACATTTGAATAAAATGTCATCCTGCTCCCCAGGAGGCTGTCATATCTCATTTTTCTCTGTTCTTTCTCTCCATCCTCCATCACTGACCCAGATCCTCATGACTTAGGTAGTCAGCAAAAATTATAGGCACAGAACAGAGAGGAAGGGAAGAGCCTAGGGGCACAAGGAAGGTGGTGTCAAGCTCTTGGACCACAGACTCTGACCAATCCCCTCCATTCCCACCCCTCAGCTGCTCAAAAGACCCAGTGGCAGTCAGATGGCCAGCAAACTGTTGTCCCCTCTCTGCTCGTTGCTCACTAAGAGCCATGAAGGCACAGCCCCTGGGCTCCTGGAGGCCATGCACACCCGCTACCTGCACCTTGGCTCCGCTGATGGCTAACAGGTGTCACAGGACAGCCCCCCCAGGTGGGCTGCCTACTCACCCAGGTCCATGTCTGCAGCCTTGGGCCGGTGGGAGCAGGGCACATTCTTGAAGATGGCATCCAGAATCTTCTCCTTGACCTGAGTGATGGTGTCACAGTTGAGGATCTTCACTGGGACCTCAGGGCTGTTGGCACTGTCTGGGTTGACACAGCTCAGGACCTGGGGGAGAGGGAAGAGGAGGTGCATGGGCGGGGAGCAGCAGGAAGAGCTCTGAGACTCCCAGGAGAATCCTGGGATCCTGTCTTGACCGGAACTGCTTCTGCAGGTTGGACTGGAGAGGGGTGAGGAGACCTCATCACAACTGTGTTGCCACTGAGCCCTCACCCTCCCCGTCCAGACAAGTAGCAAGCAGCACCCTGGCTTCAGTGTCATTGCAAGAGTGGGAGCTGCACGCTTAACTCCCTGTTGCAGCAAACTTCATTAAAATCCTGAGTTTTTCCCAAGGAACACTGTCCTAGTGAGAGGAGGCGGTGGGGGGGAATCTGTACGAGAAGGGAAACTAATGCATGCACCCAAATGTGTGTGCTCTCTCTCACACCCGCACACACACATGCCCAAGGCATCATCTCAGAAGCACATCCAGACCCACACCGCCTCTGAAAGCCCTGCCCCCATCTGTGTATGTCAGTCTGTCTGTCTTGTCACTCCCTCTCATACACATGCTCACACGAGTGGGCGCCTGGCTCCTGCCTGAAAAGATTGCTCAATAAGAAGCTTGATGTGTTTTTTAAAAATAGAAAGACGCCCTCGAAAAGTGGCAGGTCAGGCCACCTGAGCTCCCTTCCTGCCTCTGAACCTGCAGCCTGTGTTAGGGGAAGAGGCAACCCCTTCTCAGGGCCTCAGTTTCTCTTTTCACAGCTAGCTGGAAAAGTTAAGACTCTGCTTAGAGTACCAAACTATTTTTTCTTTTAAAAAGTTCTGGGCCATTTCCAAAGGCCTCTCCCCTCTTGCTGTTCTTAGAGCAGGCTGTCTCCACATGGATGAGACTGTATGGGATCCTAGGCAGACCACAGTGGAATGGGGTGGGTGCTGAGGGGCACGGGGGCTGCCAAGGGGGGCCCTCTGACCCTGCTACCTGAGCCTCTGTGCATCTCCTTCTCTGAACTTTCACGCCCCCTCCCCCGAAACCATTTCCCAATTTCGCGTCTGGTTTGCAGACTCAGACGACAGCCCCCCCACCCTGCCCCCACTCCACGTGGTGGCAGTAAGAACCCTGGCCCCGGGACACCTGCCCTTCATTAGCAACCAGACTGCCATGAGCTCGAACGGGAACATGCTTATTCCATTAAGAAGGAGAAAAAAACCTTCTAAATCTATAAAATCAAACTCTCACCCTCAAAATGTCCTAAATTGAAAACAGTGGTGGAAGGAACTCTGGACCACGTGTGCCTTCTGAGTGCCCCCGGCCAGCCAATGCTTCCTTCTAGAAGCTTTCCTGGACCCTCCCTGCCCTCTCAGTGGCCAAGCACAGCCTGACACCCTGTGCTTCCCTAGCCACCCCTGCTGTCCCGTGCTCCGGGCCGGTGGTGGGGCGGCTCAGCCTCCCCCAGCAGCAATGTAGCTTTTGCTGGACTTCCTCCTCCAGGAGCCCAGGAGGCAGAGGCTCCACCTGAGGACGCTCTCCAGACATCTCCACTCACCCCAGGGATTCGTGGTGGCCCGTGAGTGAGAACAACTCCGTGGGATGCTTCAGGGCATTGAGGGAAGAAGCAGGGGCCCCCACTGAGGGACCATAGCTCCACTCAGAGCTTCCCTTCCCCACTCCCACTCCCAGGCCCCTTGGCTAGTTTCTGAGCAAACTGCCCAGTGTTTTTTTCTGCTAAGTCAGTGCTTCTCAAACTTTAACGTGAATACAATCACTGAGGGGTTTTGTTAAAATGCTGATTCTGACTCATGAGGTCTAGGATGGGGCTGAGATTCTGCATTGTGCAGGCTCCCAGGTGAGCATCTAGTGCTCTTGCAGGCTCCCAGGTGACCATCTAGCACTCTAGCAGGCTTCCTGGTGAGAATCTAGTGCTCTTGCAGGCTCCCAGGTGACCATCTAGCGCTCTAGCAGGCTCCCAGGTGATGCTGACGGGCACTCTCAGCAGCAGGGCCCTAGGCCATGCTAGTCTACATTCTAGTCTCAATCCAACTAATCCCTCAACACTGAAGAGGGGCACCTGACCATAAAGTGATGCATCCGGAGCCTCTCAGTGCGTCTCATTCTTTATAGTTATCTCTTCTACCCAAGACAAGCTTACCACTGGTCAACCCAAAGCGCCCCGGGCTCCTCCAGCCACTGCCAAATTCCACGACTTCCTGTCTCTTTATTTGATCCTTCATCTTGGAGGCTCTGGTCACCCTGTCTGTTGCTCACACACTTTCTTCCTTGCCCCTCCCCACCAGCCATGGGGCTGCTCCCCTTTCCACTTATGAGAGTTTCATTTCACAGGCCTGAAGGGGGCTCTCCCTGCAGCCCCTTCTTCTTGGGGCACAACAATTGCAATTTCTTTCCCCTTTCCTCTTCCCCAAGTGTTTCCACCTTCAAGGATGTGCTTCCATGACCCACTCCAATTTCCTCACATTCTCTTTAAGCCAAGTCATCCGAAACCAGGCTTCATGTGCTAACAATAGTTTGGCCTCTGGAATAAGGATGCTGCAGTTTGGGGATGGAGTATTATTACAACTCACTGCGTTGGATTCGCTGTTGGGGAGGCGGAGATCAGACGGGGAAGAAAGGGAGCGGAGGGGGAGGGACCAGGCCGGCGACATTTCAGCCGTAATTCTAGCTCATTAGGAAATCTATTCAGGTCTCTATTTTTGGAAGGGTTTTTTCCTCCCTTTCCCATTTTAATTGGAGCCTCTAACTCTCTCCCCGGAGCAGACCATGACTGCAAGGAAGCAGGGGCCCCAGTCACACGCTGTTCCTTCAAAGCCTTGTCAACTGAGCCAACCCTGACAAATCTGTTAGGATGCCTATTGGGATTCCTGGGCCTCTGAGGTGGGGTGGGATAGGGGCCTCACAGCCACATCATTCCCAGCCGGCACGAGCATATTTGAGCTGGGACTCGTGGGCAGAGGTGTGCTTCAGATCCATGAGGAATTCATTCTAGTGTCCTCTCCTCTGTGCCCCCCACCTGCTATCTGCATGATCCTGTTCACTCTTCATGCTGGGAGAAGCGATGAGAAGGGGCTTATTCAGTGGGGTCAGTCAGCCAGCTGTTGGCAAGGGCATAGGCACCCCCAATTCAGCACACTGGCCTGGAACCACACTAGTCTTTTGCTGAAGTGCTGCTCAGATGTGTCTGAACTACTAGTCTCCAAATCCAGACGCCCCGTCTGCTGGTACACAGAGGAAGCATGGAGCGACCAGCACAAGCGGAACACACGTGGGCGAACGTGGAGAGGTGGTCTTCAGCATTTCCCCATCCACTCTGCTGAGCGGAGGCTGCACAGGACCAAGCCCACTTACCAGAGCCATGGGGAAAAGCTGGGAGGCCAGCTTACCAGGGTTTTGTAGTCGATCTGCTGGCGGATGAGTTTGTCCTCGCTCAGCGAGTAGCGGGCCTCTCCCGTGATGGCGTCGATGGGCCCCTTCTCCATCTGCTGCTTGATGGCACAGAACAGGGAGAAGAGGGGCTCCCCGGCGCACTCCTGGACATGGAGAAGAAGTGTGCTGGGCAGGCTTCGGGCCACAGGTGAGCAGAGCCCAACCTCTGAGCCCTGCTTCTGCAGACGGCTGCTTCCACTCCCCTGTTCCAGTCCTCGCCTGCTCCCACCTGCTCCACTCTCCGTCTTTCAAGCCCCTTCTTCGGGTATGCACTTCTCCCAGCTCTTTTGACCACAGCGTCTTCTCCCATTCTGCCCTTTCTTACCACCATCCCAGAACTCTCTCTTCATCCTCCCTGCCTTCTGTTCCCTCTCCCCATCCCACTCCTCCCTGCTTTCTCTGCGGCCCCATGGTGGGACAGAGGTCAGTCCTCGGTGGTGTGAACTCCCTAGAAAATAAGTTAATAATTGGAGCTCGAGCAGCTCTTCCACCTCCCAGGCACACCATCAGCTTATCTGCCGCCACACGCAGCTCCGGACCTGCCTGGGACCCTTATCAGCCTCAGTAAGCCTGGGGCTGGGAGAGGCAGGAGGGAGGGGAAGAGGAGAAGCAGGGACATAAGAGATGAGTTGCTTTTAGCTTAAAAGGGGAATTTAGCTTTAGGGGTGGTGCAGGGTCCGCTCAGAGGCTCATCTTGGCCTCCCCTGGGAGAATGCAGCCCACGGGGGTCCCGTCTCTCACGCTAGGACTGACTGTGGGGCACTGAGATGGGTCTTCTGAGATGGTCAGGAGTCTGTTCCCTTAAGGACGAGGGGAATTGCATTTCTCGGTGGGGTTCTAAGAACCAGGCCCTGGGAAGTGAGGACTTGGGGGCCGTGGAGGAAAGTGGCGCAGGCTGGGGAGGATGAAGGTTGGTGTCCGAGCTGGTGGGGAAACTGAGGCAGGGCCAGAGATACGCCCACACCCAACCGTACCTTGAGGAACTTGTACAGCAGGAAAGTGAACCAATTGGTCAACATCTTCTCGGCCACCGACTCGGTCCTGTCACCAGTCACCGAGGGAATCGGCAGGGCAAGACAAAGACAGAAGCAGCTGGTCAGACCCAGGGGCTGGGAGGACAGGGAAGAAGTGTGCATGGATCTCGCTGCTTAAGGCTTTCAAGCCAAAGCCTGAGGTCCTAAGGAATGCTTGAGTTCCATGGACTCCTAGACACCCACAAGGATAAGACAAGCTGTGCCTGCAAAGCTGGGAGATGACATTCTGGGTGTCAGGCTCCCAGGGGGCTTTGGCTGGAGTGTGTTAGAGCAGGGCTGTCCAATGGCACGTTCCGCCAGAGGGAAAACTTCCTCTGTGTGTGTTGTCCAATAGGGCAGCCATCGGCCACATGCGCCTGCTAAGCATTGAAATGCGGCTAGTGTGTCTGAGGAGCTAAATTTTTAATTGTATTTACCTTTAATTAATTTAGATTTAGAGTCGCGTGTGGCTCATGGCTATCACCCTGGGCAGTACAGCCATAGAGAACTTTACGGTTCCTTTGGGTCAGAAAAGAAAAACAGAAAACCTGGGGAGATATTAATTTGGCAGGAGACAGAAAGGAAGGTGGCAGAAGGGTCGTGGTAGAAAGGCCAGATAGAGCAACCCCATCGCCTAAGCTAATGACTCCCAGAGTGGACAGCAACAATGGAGCCGCACGCCTGGTTCATACCGAGATATGCCCAAATTGTCCTATTTAAAAGGCTTCCACGGACTTTGGAACTTCCCCCTGGGAACCCTTCTAGTGTTTCATTTGCAATGACAGGAAGTTCCTTCTTGAGTCTAACTTGCATCTTTCATGCTGCTACCCAAGTCCATTTATTCTTTTACTTTGGAAGTGAAGACACCACAGAAGTGTTACTGGCCAAAGGACACTTTTGGTTGCAACTGTTTAGAGAAAACAAACTTGCACTAAGTACGTGATCAGCTCCAGAGAGAAATCTACCCATCCAGGTATGTTTGGACAGAGCTAAAAGTTGCAGTCGCCAGAAGATACTAACAACTAAAATCCCAAGGTGGCTGGGCAGCTGCCAGCACAAAATGAAGCTGAGAAGAGAAAAGAAGAAAGACTGTTGAACAGAGCAGGGCGGCCAAGGGCAAGAAGAGGAAAAGGAGATGGAGGAGGGCCGAAGGGAGAGAGGGCACCTGGGAGAGAGAGAAGGAAAACCAGAGGAGGAGACACACAGATACAGAGCCAGGCCACGCCGCCAGGAAGTCGTGGGAGGGAGCTCTGGCAGGCTGTGGCAACCCTCGAATTATGCCTGTGGGTGGCTGCACGGTAGAAGTAAAACAGAAATCAAAATGCGCCACCTTGCTGTTTCCAAAGCGGTATGGTTGCTCCAATAGGCAGCAACCTTTGCAGCTGTGCGAGCGAACGCCCGCGGCACCAGGAAAAAGCCTGCAGGAAAGCTTCTGAAAGCCAAGTCTACCCACTGGACCGAGCGGGAGGCCCTGCCTCCGACCCAGAGAGCAGGACGGAAGGCAGCGGACCGGAGAGGCAGACAGAAAACGGGTGGTCCAGGCGGAGGGCCAGACGTAACGGCCTGATATGGAACTTTCCAGCTTCATCTGCACAAAGGCTAAAGACATCGCAATAACAGCCTGGGGGGAAATGGGCTTCAGGGACATGGAAAGTTCGAATGGCAGCCTGGAGAGTCAGAGAGTCTCTACTTCCCATAAGGCCGGAGCCCCCGGATAGGGTAATGTCTTCACATGTGACCATTCACTCTCAATGGTGCTGAGGACGAGGCCTCCGAGGGTGTGGAGCTGAGCGGCGGGCCCTGGACCCTTGCAGAGCCTGACGCAGGAGCCAGGAAATACCTGCTGTGTTGCATCAGGCAAGCTGCTACTAAAGGGCTTTCATTCGAACACAGGCTGGACCAGCGCTTCTCAAACTTTCATCTGCGCTCAGATCACCTCGGTTTCTCGTTACGAGGCTGATTCTGATCCAGGGAGTGTGGGCTGGGACCTGAGATGCTGCATTTCCAACCGGCTCCCGGGTGATGTTTCTGTTCCCGGTTGCGGGGGCTAAAGTTTGCAATCTTGAGATGGTGAGGTGGGTTCCCAGATGGGCCCTGGGGTGTCTCACCTAATTCAAGCTCTGATTTAGATCGGGCCGGGGAGGCAGGGGGAAATGACCTCTGAAGAGTCCACAAGAGAAGAATTCCAGTAGAGTGGGTCAAAATCAAGGGGCAGTAAGGGCAGAGAGAGAAGAATGGGGAGCAGATGTAGGGGCAGAAGAAAAACTACAGGGGAAGCAGACGGCCGTGGTTGAGTTGTAAGCACCAACATAATGATGGACAGGTTCTTCCGAGAGGCATGGGACACACTCCGGCCTCTGGGTAGGTCATACCTAACCTTGGGCAACCTGGTAGCTCCTTCTGGGAGCTCCACCCTGGTCTCCCTGGAAGGCAGTAGAGCCAGGCCCAGGGGGCTGGGCTGGGGTAGGGGCTCTCTGACCTGCACCTGCCTCTCGCCACCCCTCGGTCCCGCCCTCACCTCCTGAGCAGCAGCTTGGGGTGGTTCTTGCTCTCCAAGTTCTTGTCGATGAGGTCGGCCAGCAGCTGCTTCAGCACGTCGGTGGCATACTCCAGCTTGCTCTGCAGCACCGTCATGATGAGCGAGGCCACGTTGCCGCGGTCGCGCATGGAGAAGCTGCGCTGCGACTCGAGTGTGCGGATGAAGGAGAGCAGGAACACCTTGTTGTTGATGAGCTGGGCAAAGAGCTTCAGGCCTTTCTCCACGCGCTCCTGCCGGTAGCCCGGAACCTGCGGAGGAGAAGGGGGAAGTCCTGCCATCTGTGAGAGGGGAGGCCGGCCGGGCCCCAGTGACCCCCCGTGGGGTGCGCTGTGCCATTGCTGACCCTCCTAGCCCACCACTCACCCACTTCAGGCCAGAGCCCACCTGGCTAATGCCGTCAAGTCCTTATCTAGTCCCAGGCACCATGCTGAATATCTATGTAACCTCCGTCACAGCCCAGGAGGTCCCTGTCTCTACTTCAAGGATGAATCTAATGAGGCACAGAGAGAACATCACCACTGGCAATGGCGACACTGGGATTGGAACCTGCTTCTGCCAGACGCCACAGCCTGAGCTCTCCCCTGACAGTAATGCAGTGCGGCTGAGTGGCCCCACACCACGGCAGACCACCATCGCAGCGTCCCGTGGGAACTCCAGGAGGCCGCGGCAGCCGTAGGTCACACCCTGGCTGAGGAATTGTGAGGCCGGGGCCTCCAGCTAGCCTAACGTTGACCTGTGTCCAGCCCTGTGGGTCCTGTTGACAGAACAGTGGCCTCAGAGTCTGGACTTCCAGGGTCCACATGGGTTCTGACACCACTGTCCCATGTAACCTTGGGCTTTAGTTCTCTGGGGGCCCAAGTTCATTCACCTGAAAAAAGGGGAAGATTAAGTCCAACAGTCCTTCAGACCCTCCCTAACTCCAGCACCTGCTGTTTTCTAGGGGCTCTTTCAGAGACCCTGCCCTGTCCAGGGGAAGCAAGGAAGAAGGCCGCGTCTTCCTGCCTGCATCTTCTGTTCACTGGCAGAGCCATGCAAGGGGACACGGGGGTACCATCCACTCAGCAAACACGAGCCAGCGACTGAGCTGGACATGAGGATGCATCTGAGATGCACAGGAACAGGCACAGCAGCTCTATGCATCCACTCCAAACTGGAAACAGCCGCATGTCGGGCAACCACAGAACGGCTCAGGGAACTGTGGGATATTCCCCCAATGCAATACCACACAGCAACGGGAACGAAGGACCCATCGCTGCTCACAATAGCAGGGATGAATCTTGCAAACATATTAAAGGAAGAAAGTCAGACATGAAAGAGGGCATACTGTACACCATTTAAAATAAAGATTTAAAAAGAATTAACATTAATCATGATGGTAGGGAAAGGATTATTCTGGAGGGGGGCTGGGACTGGAGGGGGGCACACAGGGATTTTTGGAGGACTGAGAATGATCTTCTTGATCTGGCTGCCAGCTTGATGGCTGTGTTCACTTGGGGAAAATGCATCCAGCTGTGTTCCGACAGTTTGTGCACTGGTCTGTGTGTAACTTCCATTAAAACAAAAAGTTTACGTAAAAAATAAAGCATAGCCTCTGCCTTCGAGGGGAAGCTGTCCAAGAGCATGGAGCAGGGCATCCCATGAGGAGGGGGCAGGACATCCAGGCTGCATCTTGAGGGCTGTGTCTCTCCTGCAGGGGCAGATGCGACAGCAACTTGGGAAGGAGTGTCATATACGCAGCGGTGAAGAACACAGGTTCAGAGTCAGTCGAGGTGGGTTAACTCTGTCACTGTCATTTACTCATCTTGAGACCCCGAGACTCAGTTTCTTCATCAACAAAAGGAAGGTACCACAGCTAATATGGATGTAGGTCCCTATGCTGAGCACATCCCGCATGCTTTAGAAATGTTGTGGACCCATTTATTGCACACAACACCCTAGGAGGTAGGTACCACTATTACCCCAGGGCCCCGCGAGGGTAAGGAACTTTCCCAAGAAACCAAGACAGAGAAGAGTCAGAGCTAGGCCGTGAAACCGGGTGGTCACCGCGTCCTGCTCTCTCCAGGGCTCCCCTGAGCGCTGAAGGAGGTGACTTGTGAAAAGCCCACGGTGCTCAGCTGACACTCAGTCGAGTTACTAAATGGCAGCGCTCTTATCCCCTTTATTCCAGAGGCTTTAAACTGGGGAAGATGGAGGTGGCCAAGAGAGCCGTTTGCCCAACATCCAAGAAGGTGGCAGATGCGGAGCCTGAATGTTCATGCTACTCATGGATGGAGCCCCCTGTGTTCCGAGACTGAGGGAGGCAGACACCAGTCCGACCCAGGCCCTGCCCTCAGACCCTCAGCCAGGAGGTCCCCTCTGCGGGGGGACCTGTGAGTCCACCCTGAACTCTGCAGAGAAGAGCCCACACAACCGGCTCCCCCGGTTTTCCGTTCCAGTCCCTGGGGGCCTGGTGAGGGAAGGGCAGGGAGATGTGACAGCCTCACCTTGCCATCAGCCCGAGCCACAATCTGCCAGCTATCTGTCTCCCGTGATCCTCCTCGCAACTCTGTGATGGCCCCTCAGACACAGACACACAGACACACACACACACACACACACACACACACACACACACACACGCACGCATCTTACTTCCTCCATCCGTCAGACCCCTCAGAACAACATCTCTACAACTTGTCCTAAGAATAATAGATAATGCCATTTCTTGGGCACCACCACGTGCAGAGAACAGCGCTGGCACGTTACATACTGTTCCACCTTAGCCTTCTCGTGACCTTGCAAGGTGAGTGTGCCCTCTTAGCCAATCAGAGAAGCTACTGAAGTTTCCTGAGGCCAGTCAGCTGCTGAAAGATGCTGCCGGATTTCCAAACCCGAGCTTGTTTGGGTTGGAGCCCCACCCATCCTCCCGATCCTTGGCCACGTCTATTCCTACCCCTGGGCCTGGGAGGTGACTGAAAGCCAGCTCTGAGTCGGCCTTGCAGCCTCCCCTGCAGGGCCTCCTGGCAGTTCAGGCTGGCCGTCCCAGGAAGGGGAGCCATGCACAGGTTTGGCAATGTGGCACCCGGAGAGGAGGAAGGGGGGACAGGGCCAGCCGGATGGCACACTTGAAGTGAGGGCACGTTCTGGACTTCCTGTGTGGCTGCACATGCCTTCTGGGCAGCAAGGCCAGGGACCCTGGGTAGGAAGGGTTAGCAAAGCCACCTGCGGGGAAAGAGCACCCCAGAGCAGCACGGGGTTTGGAATCAGAGAGATGATGCTGACTCGGATGCGGAGGAAAGCTCTGTCACCTCTGGGCTCTACTGCCTCCTCTATAAAACGAGAATATGAGTGCCTGTGTCATAAAGTTTTATGAACATTAAATAAGATAATGGATGTGAAATGCTTGGCACAAGCAGGGCGCGCTTAGACAGCAGCCGTTTTATCACCTGCCTCGCCCACTGCGCCGGCTGCTTTTCACAGATCCTTGTCGCCCAAGAGTTTCCGAGACATTGAACGCATGGGCACGGCGTCTCGAGTGCGGGAGGTAGGAATTCTCTCCCCGTTTTCTTAAGGGGGAGGCAGAAGTGAAGTATCTTGGTCAATAGTATCCAGAACAATTCCCCTTTGTCACTCCAACCCGCTCCCCTGCACCCTAAGCAAACGGCCCCTCTGAAACAAGACTTTCTTTATTCACCAGATGGTTCGATGATTTAGTTGAAGTCTGTGAGTATAAAACTGGATAGTAAATTTTAATTGTAACCCAATAGGTTAGAGTTTAGGAGGCAATGCTAGGTTGACAATGGGGTGTGTGGTGACTGTTTGCTCTCTGCTTTTAAAGGATTGGTGTGCGACCAGGGCCTGGTAAGCACTTTCCCCAATGCCTGGAATTCTCCCAGACGGTCACAAAGGAGAGGGCCAGGTGGTCTAAGGTCCAGGACATCCTGAAGCCAGAGGACACCTCCTTCACATATATCCACCGCTCATGCCCAAGCAGTGGGCAGGTGTTCCGGTGGCTGAAAAGGTCAGGACACACTGCATTAGATTAGCCAATGGCCTTCCTGGGAATGTTTCCGTACTCAGAAAGCCATGAGGGAGAAACTGTTCCAGTGGCAAGGAGGGGCTGGAAATGAGAAAAGAATGATCCCTGCCAGATCTGTGGATCTCGCATAGGAGGCTGGATCTCACTGCGCCCAGGCCAGGGTGGGCAGTAAAAGTTGATTTCCGTCTGCAAGCAATTAATTAGTGAGTTTAATGGAAATGAAAAGTCGTACGTTCTGGGCACACACGCCAAAGACTGGAAGGAAGAGCTTGAAGAGTTATTGGTACACCCACATTCATAGCAGCGTTACTCATAACAGCCAAAAGGTGGACGAAACCCAAGCGTCTACCGACAGATGAATGGATAAACAAAACGTGGTCTACACACACAACGGACTATTTTTCAGCCTTAAAAAGGGAAGAAATTCTGTCACATGCTACAACATGGGTGAACTTGGAAAACATCTTGCTAAGTGAAATAAACCTGTCACAAAAGGCCAAGTACTATGATTCCACTTATGTGAGGTCCCAGAGGAGGTAAACTCAGAGACAGAAAGTAGAAGGGTGCTTGTGACGGCTGGGGGCGGGGGCGAGCGCGCAGTTAAGTGTTCAAGGGGTACCGAGTTGTGTTGGGGAAGACGAAAAAGTTCTGGAGACGGATGGTGGCGATGGCTGCACAAGAATGTAAATGGACTTCATGCTACTGAACGGTAGGCTTAAAAATGGTTGAAATGGTCAATTTTGTTATGTATTTTTGTTTTTACCACAATTAAACAAAGAAAAAAAGCTATGGGACCTGATGGTTCAGAGCCTGTGCCCGACCATTACCATCCTGTGGGCTCCAACTCAGGGAAACTGGTCAAGCCGGCTGACTCCTTCACGAGCCGGAGAGTGGGATCAGACGCTCTCCCTAGTGATAAAGGCCAGGAAAAGGGAGAAGACTCAGGTTTGTGGGGAAATTTTAAGGTGCCAGATGAGGAATAAGGCCATGGTAGGATATGAAGTGATTTATAACGGAGCCCAGCAACAGCCTGGGGGTGCGGGCGGGGGGCAGGGTGGCCACCCAGAGGGCATCTCAGGAGTAACACAGGCTGGGCAGGTGGTCATCCGAGCCCAGCAGTCCTGGTTCCCAGAGGCTTCCTCTCTGAAGCCCTCTGAGGGCTGAGTTCACCCGACACCCTGAGAGAGACGGACGGGTGAGGGAGTCAGTGACACCTGGTGTGCAGCTCTGGGTGTGCCCTTGCGTGTGTTCAGCCCGCAGGGTGGGAAATGTTGCTGTGAAGTGAAGAGACTACTGGTCTCTGGACTGAACGAGGGGTCTTGAAACTTTCTGGGCAGAGAGAGGAGTCTGCTGCTGTTCGTTCTGTAGCCCCAGAAGCCCCTGCTCAGGGGTGCCTCAGATGCCGGGGAGCAAGGCAGGTGAGGCCAGGGCAGCGCCTACTGGAGCAGTGAGCTCGCTCCATGCACGGCTCCGAGGGCGGGCGTAAGGGGGCTCGGCGCTTCTGTCTCCAGAGCCCGGCTTGCTGGGTGCAGCTCCTTGCTGAGAAATAAGGCCAGGGAGTGGGCAGCAGCAGTCCATGACCTGCTTCTCTCAGGAAACTAACCTCAGAGGGCAGGCTCAGAGAAGTGCAGCTGCGTAGGGACCCCGACAGCTTGCAGCAAGGGCATGGTGCAGTGCAGAACAATGAGATGGAATTATTTGTATTCTGGTCCTGAGTGAACAGGGCTGCAACTAGACAGGAGGCAGGCAGTGCACTGAACAACTCCAGGAGATGCCACATTTGAATGGTGCCTTCTGGAGTGGTGCAGTGTTCAACCTGCACAACCACCCACGAGATCCTGCAGGAGAACGAGCCCCATAACTCTCCTGCCACAACCCTGGGCAGCTCTCGGCGGGGTATAGCCCTTGGGTGTGTGCTAACCCAGTGCCAAGACCGGCCCGAGAGTCTGAGCATCTAAGGAGATGCAAGTGCATGTTGGGCAGCCTTGAGACAAATGGGATCAAATGAGGACTAAGACCCTATGACAGGTCAGGGCACGATTTGCAGTGTGGGCCATAGGAATGGCCTGGAAAACAGTGTGGACTGTGTGTGTTTGTCCCGAGAGAACACCTTGTGTGGGAGGTGGCTCTCCCATAGCCTGCTCCAAAGTCTTCAGGCTGCCCTATTAGGGATGACAGCTTTGAAACAGTTTCAGAAAACCTGATTTAAAACTTACATGCTTAAGTCTATACAGAAACTGATATACAATAATGTACACCTGAAATTACACAATGTTATAAACCAATATGACCTCAATAAAATAATTAAAAAAAAATAAGACAGATCAATAGTTAGAGGGGTGAATATAGGCATAGATATAGTATCAGGGAGCTATAGCAAAAGCTTAATTGAGCTGGATATATGGACGTTCTTTGAATAATTATTTCAACTATTCTGAATGCTTGAAATTTTTCATATTAAATGTGGGGAAAAAATAAAACTTATATGCTGAAAGGTAATCTACTTGGAATTTTGAACTAGCAGTAAGTGGAGAATAACTTTATGTGCTCACCCCAGTTGAATTCTTATATTGATTATTCTCCAACCCATCCACAGAGGGTATGGGGATGTTGAAATATAATCTCCCCCCCACCCACTGGCAATGTCCACTCTAACTCATGCAGACACACAGACATCCAATTATTTAATCATACAACATTTCCTGCATGCCTACTACGTGCCAAGCCCTCTGCTGGAAGCCAGAATTACAAAGACAAATAAGATACGGCACAGCCTACACATCCAATCGCGCGCGCGCACACACACACACACACACTTGTCCTTTCCTTTCCTTCCCTCCTCTGTCTTGCTTTGACCAGGAACTTGCACACTCTCCAGTGGGCTAAGGACGCTAGTATTTTTTTTTTTTTTGAGGAAGATTATCCCTGAGCTAACATCCGCTGCCAATCCTCCTCTTTTTGCTGAGGAAGACTGGCCCTGATCTGTACCCATCTCTTCCTCTACTTTATATGTGGGATGCCTGCCACAGCATGGCTTGACGAGTGGTACTAGGTCTTTACCCGGGATCCAAACTGGTGAACCCCAGGCCACTAAAGTGGAACGTGCAAACTTAACCACTGCGCCACCAGACTGGCTCCTAAGCACCCTAGTATTTTGAAGCAAGTAAAGATGAGACTGGAGAAAAATGAGTGGAAATCAGGAGGAGCAAAGGCAAGGAGAGGAAGAACAAGTATGTGGACAGATAGAAGTCTCATGATCCAGATGGCGTTTTCATTTGTGTATATGACACACGTTTACACGACTATGCATGTATACACGCACAGACATGCAGAGGGAAGGGGCGCATCATCAACGAGGACATGGAGCCGACAACCTCCAGCCCCAGAAAGGACCTTTCGGTGTCCATCCACCGAGGAGCCACGGAGAGCCTCCTCCAGACAGAAGTGACCGTGCCCTCACTATAGACACATGCACACATAAAAGTGCACACACACTTCATTCAACAAACAAGCATGGATAAACGTGAGTGGGCGCCGGAGTCCCCAGGTCCTTGCTGTGTTTACTGCAGAGGGGCACAGCCCTTCGTCCCCTTGGAGAGCCCATGCAGACCCTCCCTCCGAGGGTACCTGCAGAGCCACGTGGCTCCTGAGCGGAGGGTCTGTTTTTATTTTATGGACAATACAAATCCTGGAATTAGTCTTATTTTCCTTTGAGTCTTTGGCTGCAGATTTTCGATCCTATCTAATACGTATCCAGGGCCATAAGGCATGACACTGGCGTAGCACCTCAGAGGTCAAGCGCACAGGCTTGTCATTGGGAGAACTCTGAAGCCCACTGCTGGACTCAGACCCTGGACCCACTCCCTCCTAGCTGGGCCCCAGGGCTCTCTACACCCTTAGTTTGTCGCCTGTAAAATGAGCGTACCTCCTTCGGAGGGCACTCGGGAGGTTAAATGGATGGATGCCTGTCAGGTACTTACAACTGGACCAGGCTATTAGTCAGCAGTCAACTCATAGCGATTATTCCTTATGATTATTATTTTGCCCTGGTTTCCTCCTTTATACTTTTCACTGTTCTATGGTATTTATCTTTATAAGTTATTCCAAATCCCTTTCGGAACAAAGCATAATATGAATATATGCATAAGCCAGATACTACACTAGACAGTAAGTGGGATAAAATGTTCAAAAGATGAGGTCCCTGCTGGTACAGAAGACAGTTCTTATCATTCACATTTCCACCTCCCTTGCCAGCACATCACTTATCCTTTCCACACGTACTTACTGAGCACCAATTCAGTGATGAAATCCCTTACATCGTGGTGTCTTAAACAAGGGCCCATGAACTCCCCATGTTTCTCGGCCAGATTTCTTGTTTCTGTGTGTATGTACAGTTTTTCTGGGGAGAGGGTCTTCAACGCCCATTCAATTCTGAAGGGATCCATGACGCCCTAAGATCTGAAGCCCTACTCCCATGACGCTCCGAAGTTCCCTGGCGTGGCGTCACTTCCCCCAGACGGACCGGCTGACACCAACAAGCAGGGGGACCTTGAGTAAGCTGTGTCCCCGCCCTGGTCTCAGCTTTCTCACCTCCTAAATAGGTGGTTGGACTTGAAGGTCACCAATATCTCTCTCTGCACTAACACGGTGATGGGGGAGGGCTGGGCACTGGCACTGCTTCTCACCTCGAGGTCCCGGAGGACAGGGTGGTCTTCAATCCCCGGGAACAGCACCCGCATGGTGTAGGTTCTGTAGTCCAGGAAGGGAATCCCAGCTCCGTCCAGGTCACTGGTTAACTCATGGATGTCCGTCTGCAGCTCGGCAAAGGCTGGCACAAAGAGAAGCCCATGAGACTGCTGGATGGGGCAGGCCTGAGAGTTATCCTGACTCGGAATGCTTAGAGCACTCACACAGGCCCCGAGGAGACCTGGGTGATGGGCTGTGGGTGTGCAAGAATAAGAAGGGGGGAGGTTCTACGTAGCTGGGGTGAATGACGTAGACATGGGAGAAAGATGCAGCACGAGGAAGTGTGTTTTGAGCCAAATCTCTTCCAAAGCATAGATGGGGTGGGAGGCCATCTGCAGATCTGTGCTGCTGGGGCCAGGGGGGCCTCCCCATGAGGTTGAAGGACTTCAGTTTGCGAAATGTGCTGAGGGGGCAGGAGGGATGTACAAGGACAGAGGGAGGGAAGGGAGAGGTTCCAGTGACGGAGGGTCTATTCCTGATTCTGTGTTTAATCCTAGGTTTTCTTATAAGCGTTAAGAACAATTTCTTCTGGAGTCCCAGTTCTGGCCCACACAGCTCACTGAAGCCATCAAACTTCCAAATGGGGCCAGATGAAGGCTCTGCCACACTAACACATTCCTTCTGTATAAATACGCAGGGTGTATCTCTGTCCTTCCTTTAGCAAGGTGATGCTACTCAATGGAGAATGATGAAATGCATGTGGGCACCACTGTCTGTGGGGGCAGCTCAGGCCTATAGATGGTCACAGAGCTGCAAGACCCCACCTGGCCCCAGGAAAGTACGGAACGCAGCCTTAGGCTATCACAGAGCACCAAAGCTGTGACCACATTCCATCTGGGGCGCATCCCTCCTCCTGGGCTGCCTCTGCCATGGGAAATAGTCAGAGGGGATGTGCTCAGCTCTTCCCTGCTCTGCCTTTCTACTCGGCACATGCACACACCCACATACACACATGCATGCATGCACAAACACATGCACACACACAGGCACACACAATCAGGATGGATTAACACACGCTGGCAAAGACGAACAGCCAGTGTACATTGACTAAACAATATTTCCTTCTAATTATATAAACAAAAAAATAGGAAAAATATACTTTGTGGGCTCAGAAGAGATTCACAAGCCCTATGTGGCTCTGGAGGCCTTGACAAGCCACCCCTGGGCCCAGTGGGCTCTGCAGATCACAGGGACATAACACAGCCGCCTGGGCACTGTCAGCAGGGACCTCAGGCACCCTGTGGTGCTGCCGTCAGCCTTACAGATCCTGGGTTTCTAGGCCTTAAGGATCCCAGTGCTTGTTGTTTGACAGAAAAACAAGGATGCCACCCGACCCCCTGGAGAGGTTCCTGCAGCCCTGCACCTCTGCTCTGGTCATACTGACCCAGGGGCTCCTGGGCAAGGAAAGTGCCTCCGAAGGCAGAGCAACCCTAACGCATCCAAGTGGAACTTACACCCCTGTGTGGTCGCCTGTGTGTGCCAAAAGGGGGTCAGTAAGCCTTTTTGGCTTGTACTATTACCAAAAGCCCCAATGAACACTTATGGATGTCCTAAGCAAGGACATGAGTGTGTGTGTTTGTGGGAATGTGTGCATGGGCGTGGGGGGGTGTGTGCCTGAGTGTATGGATGAGTGTGAGTACAGAAGTGATGGAGCGTGTGAGCACGTCAGTGTTTGTGGGCATGTGTGGGAGTGCATGCACATGAGTGTGTGTGTGTGTTTATATATCAGGAGGTCAGGGCTGTGATGGGCCCAGGCCGGGCCTCTTTGGAGCGTCTGTGTGGGTGACATCCTGGCTCACTATCAAGTCTTCAGGAAGTCCCCTCCCTGGACACACGCAGCCCTGCAAATACTCCAGAGCCCACTCCAGGCACCCCTGGAAAATACCTGATGGCTAATCCTGCGTGCACTTTGCTCTAAGGCTCCCTTCCCACCCAGGCGGGATGGCGCTCCCCGAGCTGGGAGCCTCCACTGACTCCTTCGGCTGGGCTCCCTGCCTGACTGCTAATTCCCCCTTCTCTGGAGCATCCTGAGAGGCACCTGGCGTCACGCGCCCCCTCACTGCCCCTCCTGGTGCTCAGCGGCAAGGAGGAGAAGGAGGGAGCTGGCTTTTTATCCGTCTGCAGCCTTCCTTCAAGTCACCCAGCGCCTCCAACATTCAAAGCCTCGCGCCTGCCACACATAAAAGAGATTCTAATCACTACACCTAATTAGAGGAAAGAGTACATTGCGGAGAAAAAAATTAAGCTGCGTAAATATAATAAAAGGCAGTAATTAACAGTCCCACAAGGCGGATGCTGTGCTGACAGCTGAAGGATGTGGAGAGGGGATGGAATGGACCCACTTCCCCATCGGAGAGCATGTGGCTGCCCCGCGGGGAATGTGAGCGCCCTGGGTACAGGCTGGACTTACTCCACGGATAAACCTACAGCAGAGAACGGGCTCAGAGCCTCCCAGGGTGACTCGCGGAATGCTATCCTGGTGGTGACAAGAGTCTGACTCCTACATTTCCTTCTTGGATTTAGTGCAGCTGATTTTGCTTCATGGTGGTGTTGGTGACTTTTTAAAAATACAAGCTGTGAAACACTCTTCTTTCTAAATCTCGGATCAGCCCTACAACCTCACCTTCCTTCTAAGGAAAGAGAGCTAAAGATTGCTTAACTGTGTCATATCAAGACACCTGAAGGTCTCTCTGAGAAGAGGGCATAAAAGCCAGTTGGCCAGGATTCTGGGCTGGAAACAGCTGCAGTGGGGTTTGGAATGATTCCAGTCTGACTGGGGAAAGAGGTGAGGGGACACCATGAGGGAGGGGGAGGAGGCCTTAGACTCATCTGGCCTTGCCCGGGTGGGGCTTGCTAGGATAAGGATTTGGTCTGCGCACAGGCTCAGAGACCAGAGTTAGGAAGGACACCGAGCCCCCAGTACTGCCCATTGCTGCCCAGCCCACTGCTTGTGTGTGAGATGATACACACACACACACACATACAGGTGCACTCACACCCCCAGCCTCCAGCATGGGGCCATGGTCCCCTGGCTGCTCAGTACCTTCCTTGCACTCCAGGGCCACGCGGGACTCCAGGTTGTCCATCTGCATCTGCAGCCGCTTCAGCGTGAGATCGCTTTCTCGGGACTTGCGTTTGTAGGCGATGAGCACGGCCACGATGAAGATGATGAGGAGGCCACCTGCCACTGCGATGCTGACGATTGCGGGCAGGCTGAGAGGGCTGTCTGGGGCGATGTACACCATCCCCGGGGAGTACTCCATGCCACCGACACGGGCCTGCAGGGCACACCAGTGAGAGGGAGCTAGGTGTGGGGTCAGCATCCTAGGGAACAGCCTCAAGTCACTGATAAACTGGTGACCAGCGTGGGATGAGGGGAACGGCTCAGGGAGGAGAATCATCACTGGTTGTAGAAGCAGAAGAGAGGGCATATAGGGGCAAGGGAGGGGGTCTGTGTGGTTCAGCATAGGCCTCCCCCACAACTGGAAAAACCACACGTTCTCTCATTCAGGAGTTAACATGGTCATCTTCATCAGCAAACAGCACACAAGTGGGATCTCAAAGTCTAACATGACATCAGTGACCGGCTCCTGAAGATCCATCCCATTGTAAGGATGGATGACTGAGCACAGAACATGCTCCTGTGGACCACCCCGGGCCAACAACGGTCCTCTCCTGGAAGGGTCTAATGCCAGTAACAAGTGGTTTAGTCCCTCGTGTAATGCTATTTTGCATTGCCCTTATTGTAGCACCAGCCAGTAAGGAAAGAATAACAACACAGAAGAAAGAAGTAGGACAGGGAGAAGGAACAAGGGGTGTAGGGTAGCTAGGAGAAAAGTTTGAGGCAGCCAGAATCCCCTCCTGGAAAGCCCTGGTGGCCCTGGATGGAGCCGGACCATTCACACCCCAGTATGCCTAGTGCCTGTTCCATCTGGATGGCTCCCGTCAGCCTCACCATCACTTTGTGCCTGCCGATGAGATTGGGGGACTCGCAGAGCAGCTGTGCATCCGACACGGTCACGGTGCAGGGCTTCTCCCCGACCAGCACAGTGTAGTTCAGCTTCACATTGCCCCCAGCCACAGGCGGGATCAGGTTCTTGCCCTGGATGGACAGGAAAGACCCAGTTCCCACCCCGTAGTCAGGACCACAGCTCCAGGCCGGCTGCCATGTCCTCCCACCCAGAGGTCCCATCCTGCTGGTGAGCTGGGGGAGAGGCCACCTTCTGTAATAAGTCCAAAAAACTTGTGGCACATAAACCACCATACCCCCTTCCCCAGTGAGAAATCAATAACTCTTTTCAGGTTATCCCAAATGCAGCCTCAGAATCCTTCTCAACACAGAGCTGTAGTCAATCACTACCAGTTGAGTTAAATTAATTTGTCATATGAGTTAAAGTCAATTTGCTATCCATGCTCCAAAGAAACCTTATATTGTGGTTTGCAAAGGGCTACAGAGGAGAAAGCAGTACAAGCCTCTGACCTCCCAGGTGCTAGATTCAGGGGACAAGCAAAGCTTGGGAGTCACATGGCCAGGGTGGGTCCAGCTGCCCTAATCAGGTCTCCAAGGCCTGTCAAGAGAGTGTGCCTCTCAGTCCAGACTCAGAGAGTGTTGACCATACTCCAGACAATAACAACCTCCGACAGGGACTCCAGTCTCAAAATCTGGCAGGAGCCCCTGACTTCTGGCCTCTGTGACTTGCAAGGCCTCCCCTTCCACACAGCAGCTCCTTCTTCCCACCTCCCGGCTGCCAGCTTCAGGCTACCTTTAGGATGATGGGCGTGCCGGGCTTGAGCTCCAGGATTCCCGAGGGACCAAAGGCCTCAAACACAGGGTTGGGATAGTAGGTGAAGTTGGTCTTGTTGAGGATTAGCAGGGACTGCACGTTGTCCAGGATGAAGCCAAACTCCTCGGGCCTCTCCGTGAGGTCGGACTGGTGGTCGGGCCCCAGAGCGAGGGCCGGAGCCTGGCAGGTCATCTCAGTAGAGTTCAGAACCTCACAGAGCTGTGGAGGAGCCAGGCAGGGAAGACCATGCAGAGCCTGTCCACACACCCACAGTCCCAACGCACCCGCTGGGTCTCCCGCAGCGCTGTCATGCAGCACAGCACTGATACGGGACAGTTACGGATGGGTCACGGCTCCTTTGCAGCCAGGACCACACGACCTGGGCACTCAAGGAATAAGCTCTGCAGCTGGTACCCGGCTCCGCTGTGCCCATAGAGGGTGGCAGTGCCTAGGGCATCTTTAAACTCAGCAGCAGCACGGGGGAGGGGGGCTGGGGGGTAGTTGGAGGGATGGAGGAGTAAGGGTATCAAACCCCCGAAACCTCAGAAGTGACTGCTCCCCCACGCCTGTACCCAAGGTGTAAAATGCCCTCAGGGCTGCTCGTCCATCCCACCGGCCCAGCACCTTGGGGTGTCACATGTGGTGGGTCATCGGTGTCTGGGGTGAGCCTGCCTGAGTACTTGGGGAGCCCCACACCCTTAGGAAAGCAACACGCTAAGTAGGCAGCCCCCATAACCCCTGCCAGCCCTGGACTCACATTGATGTGCTCCTTCCCCCCATGCTTGGCACGGATCTGGGGGTTCTGTATGAGGTCCAGATGGGTCCCCCACACGGCGATGGGTGTGTTTCCACTGGCCAGGGAAGAAAGAAGAAGGCGTGTAAATACAGGCACAGAAATAGCAATGGCACTCGACAATGATGGTGACGATGACAATCAAACAGGCTGAGCTCCGACATTAAAGATAATGATGACTGGGAGGCATGATAATGTTCACAGGGACAATGAGGACAAGCTGACTGAATAATAATAAGGATGAGCTCTCAGCAGCCAAGGGGAAGACAGTAATGACCAGATGTCCATGGCTGTCCTGCGCTGGGCTCATTCGGCACATGGACACCCCGTGGAGGCCGGGCCTGCAGCACAGCCCTCTTGGCTCCCCGAGGCCTCTTGACCTGAGCCAGCCGCTTCTCCGCAGCCCCCTGGTGTCTCCTCCCCCAGCCCTTACCCATCCCAGGGAATTTTTTCACACTGGCCTTGGCCTAATGGAAGCTTCCAGACTGTCCCCCACCAGACCCTGCAGGGACAGCACAGTCTCCTCCCCCAGGGAAATCACACTACAAATTCTCAGTCTGCTGAGACCTGGGAAAGGCAGAGACCCAGACACTCAGGAATCTCTCTAGGAACGCAAATGTGAAATGCTCTGGGACCAGGTCTCCCGCACCCTGGGGGTCAGCCAGAGGACTGGATGAGGAAGGCCCAGGAGATGCATCTTTGTGTAGCTCTTCAAAGGGAACCTGCATGCCACTGTCCTACTCCAGGGCAGCAGGGAAGCTGACATGAGGTGAGGGCTCTCTTCCTTGGGGGCTACTCAAAGGAAAGGGACCGATCACTTTATCCACAATCAAGGAAGTATCTTCGAGAAGAATCCTACTATCTAAAACAATTAAGTAGTTAGAAGCGTGGTGGGTAAAGAATCCTTTATACCCACATTCATTTCCACACTTTTATCCATCTGCCCATCTTTATACTTCCTTCCCTTCCTGTTGCCCTCCACCTGCCCCTTTCTCAGGCACACACACACACTCACCCACACGCACACGCATGCAGGAAGCTTCCTGTGAACCCCGGAGAGGCTTTTCTGCCCATGGCAGTGTTTGGGAATGAGCTTCCAGTGTCCGGCCATCTCCTGATCTTCTCAATCATCAAACGCCTCCCATCACTGCCCATTAGTAACCCAGCTGCTGTAAGGAGTGTGAAGCCACGTGTCAGTTGGCAGACATGGTTAACTGCAGCAAAAATGCTGGAGCCTGCTGGCCGACTGGGAAAGTGCCTCCAGCCTCCCCCTCGATGCGAGCATGACTCGGGTTGGCTGCTAAGTGCCAGGAAGGATGACACCTCTATTTCTGTGACAATGACAGAGGGAGAACTGAATTAAACCAGGCTGTGAATTCCTTAGGGAGTTATAGGCTTTATCTGGGCACGGAGGGCTACGCCAACTTCCTGGACTCACAGGCCTTAGGGGCAAATCCTGGAATAGCTTTCTACAGGCTATTTTCCTCTCTTTGTGCCTCATATTCACCCGCTTTAAGATCATGACCAAAGCTGATACGGTTTGGGCCTTAGAGAGTGACTGCTGAGGACCACAAAGTCTCCCCTCAGCCAAGGCTGCCTTTGTTTGTTTGGGTATATGGCCGGGGGCGGCAAACTCTGTAAAGGGCCAGAGAGTAAATATTTGAGGCTTCCCAGACCACATGGTCTGTCGCAATTACTCAGTTCTGCTGCTGTGTGAGAAAGCGGCTATAGACAAAACATATACCAGTGAGCATGGCTGTGTTCCAACAAAACTTTATTTACAAAAGCAGGCAGACAGCCAGATTTGGCCCCATGTCCAGAGTTTGCTGACTCTAGTTCACAAGATTGTTCTCTGGACTGGGCTTGCCCCTGCCCCCTGTCTCAGTGGGTGGAGACCACATCTTCCTACTGTGCGTTTACACCTCACTTAATTCTCTCAGCACCCTGTGAGGGAGTTGACGGATGAGAAACGCTGGACTGAGGGAGCTTCATTAACCTTTAAGGTCATAGTTGGTCAGTAGTGGAGCTGGGCTAAGCCCACTTCTTCTGATCCCAAACCCTTGCTCCATTCCCCCCGTGGCCCCTGACACAGCAGGTTTCCCACCCGGGGCCTTGATGCCAGGATGCCCTCTGCAGTGGCTTTTCATTACGATGCACCCTCCAGGTTCTAGAAAGGCAGACTCATGCTCTCTGCATGAAGCTCCTCCCCTAAGGTGAGATGCCACCGCTCCAGAGACCCAGCGAGCAGTCAGGCCCCCGGGGATCCTGGAGTTCCCAAGCGCCAGCCGGCTCTCTCAGGAGATGTTTGCCTGGGAAGATCATGCAACTGGGCCAGTCAGCTTGTGAATGACTGAGTGAGAAGCAGCCCCAGAGGGTCTTTCTACAGCAGCATGGACCTGGCTCCCTCCTAGGACCTGTGTTTTCCGTCCTCCTCTTGGGCACTGGGGGAAGAGCAGGGAAAAGACCCAGTCCCCACACCTAAGGAGTTTGCAGGCAGTTAGAGATCAGACAAACGATGGCAGACAGCTACAGAAGCCCAGAGGACCAACGTCTGAACCGGACCCTGATGGTCAGGGCACACTTTCCTTCCAGAGCAGGTCAAGGAGAAGATGGGTCTGATCTTACTCTTTCCCCTACATCCCTCGGCAGAACTGGAATTGTGGCCCATATTTGCCAGAAGTGAGGTTCAAGGAGAGCAGGCCTGATATCCCCTGACAGTCACTGTGAGATGGAATCATGGCCTTCAAATGTACCCACCAACCCTCAAATTAGGGGCTGTGAGCTCTTGCTGGTCAGAGCTTGGCCTCTGGGGCGGGGTTCCACTCAGAGGTGCTCTCAGCGGAAGGAGGGAGCCCTAGGACGAAGGTCTGATTTGGGGCTCTAAGCCAACCCCAGTTTATTGGTCTCCAAAGTAGGACTGGGACCCTAAACTCTCCTTGGCTTTTGAGAGCTGAAGAAGGGCTATTGGGGGCAGGGCCGCTCCTACCTGACGATGCTCCACTCTGGCTCGATCCGCACGATGGTGGGATCCTCCACGTACTGGAAGACCAGGTCCTGGTGGATCTTGGCCCTGTCCACCTGCACCGTCACCTTCATCTCCAGCACCTCATCTGAGGATGTGGTGTTGCAGACGATGTAGGACGGAGAGCGCCTGGAGGGAGGGAGACATGGGCCGGGCTCCTAGGTGTCAAGGAGGCATGGTGGTCCTGTGTCAGGGCCCTCCCACCCCCTCCCTGTTCGCCAGCCTGCTCAGAGGCAATGGGTGAGCACCGCCAGAGATATAAAGCTCCGAGAACTACTGACAAAACTCTCCTTGACCAAACTGTAGACAGGTTCCTCTGAGCCCTCTCTTTGACCAGGCCTTGTCCTTGGGCCCTAACTTCAGCCTGTCTTGCCCCATTTTTAGCAAGAATCCTTCTAAGTGAGTTTAGCAAGAATCCCCCACCCTTGATATCTGATCAAGTTCTTCATCCCTCTCCCTGGATGTCTCACCACCCTGGCCTGCCTTCAGCAAGAACCCTGTTAAGTTGATTTAGCAAGAATCTCCCTACCCTTGACATCTCCTCTTAGTAATTTTGCATCCACTGGCCCCTCCGCCGGCTCGTCTTTGCTGCTTTTGGAGTCAAGCCTGATTTTTTTCCCTATTGTGATAGTCCTGACCCCTATTGCAATAGCCCCGAATAAACTCTCTTACCATTTTACCAAGTGTCAGAACAATTTTTTCTTTAACAGCATTAACGCGAGGCCTGGCCTGGCTTGACTTCAGATCTGTCCCAGCCCTCAGCTTAGCTCTGTCCCGGGAACACCTCTCTGCGGAAACTCGTGCCTGCTAAGGGACGGTTCCCCACCACATCTCTGCGAGTCCTGAACTAGAGGTGCCTCCCGCCTCGCTCCTGTCCCCCGCGGCACTCCTCGCTCAGGGAGGGTGGGCCCTTCTGGGGCTGGATGGTGGAAGCAGGGGAGAGAAAGTGGGCCGCCCTTGGAGGTCCAACCTCAGCCAGCTGGGCAGCTGTCCCACCCAGCTCTCGGCAGTCCCAGCTGGCTCTGTAGCAGCTGGAGAGGAGCCAACGGGCCCTAGATTCCAAACCGTGTCCTATGGAACCCTGGGTTCTGCACAGAGGTCGGTCTGGGGGCACCAAGGCTAAATGGCGGGCAACAGCATAATGGGCCCACCCACGGAAGGGGTACCCATCAGGTCTGCAGACCAAGCCAAAACATCTGCCCCCAGGACACCCAGAAAGCCCTCTCCCGAAGAGAATGGCACCTTCGCAGGGAGGAGGAAGCACATCCGAGAGGTTGGCAGGAAGTCCGCCGCCCTGGGCAGCCCCGGAACCCCGGAGCCGGCCTGGAGGTGCCTTACCTGTGGAAGACGCAGGGCTGCTTCCCGAACATCACCACCACATTGCTGCCTGCGTTCAGGTTGGTGCCTGTGATGGTCACTTGGGTGCCCCCGGACATGGGTCCCCGGCTGGGCTTCAGGTCTGAGAGAGTCAGCGTCTGTGTAGGAAAGGATCTGATGTGATACACAACTGGGACAGGGCCAGAGGAGGCAGCACCCCTTTCCCGGAGCTGCCTTCTGGAATCTTCAGTATGGGCAGCCTCCCAGAGAGCTGGCACAGTTTTACTAGGCTTGTATGGATGGGCAACATTCTGGACCCTGAGAGTTTGCACTTCTGTATTAAAAACAGTAATAATAATAACACCTGCTATGTATCATTTTTCAGGTGGCAGGCTTTATATCTTCATCTATATATATAATTCAATTGCCCAATCAATTCTACAAGGTAGGTATTATTACCCATTTACAGAGGTGATTCGGAGAGGTTAAGCAAAGTTCCCAAGGTCACACAGCTAAAAAGCAGCATGACTGAGATCTGACCCCAGAGCTCTGGTTCTTCACCGCCTCTCCAGTCTGTGGTCTCCAGTCTTGGTTGCTTTTGGGAAGGTGATTTGCCCCTTCTACATGCCTCTCCAGAGAGCTGCCCAAAGCGCCCAGCTGCCAGAGCAACGGGATGTGAGGGCCCCAGGGAAACCAGGGTGGGGGTGGGGAACGAAGAAGGGTCAGCGGGTTGAGACTGGGGCTGGCGGCAGGGGCACCTGTGAGCTGAGGATTTGGCGTTCCAGCTTGTTCTTTGATTAGCATTTTAATGGAAAAACTTTCCTCAGTCCCAGGTGAGAAGCCAGCATCTGCATTTAAATGAACATTTCTCTCTCCCGGGCCGCTTGAAGAATTCTGCACCGAAAGTGGGACCTCCCCGGCTCCAGAGCGGGCAGGCGACCTCCCCGCGGAGAGGCCGCCATCAGTGACCCCGCGGAGGGGAAAACAAGGCCCGCCAAGCCCGCACGCCCGCCGCCTGGCACGCGCGCGCCCACGTCCGGGCGCAGGGCACACGCGCGGGGACACACGCTGACCGCCGCGCCCGGCGTCCGCCCCCGAGCAGGCGCGCTCGCGGCCCGCGCGCCCCGCCGCCCACGTGGTCCCCGCGGATCCCGAGCCTGGCATCGCTGTGGCGCCCGCAGAGCTGAGGCAGGGCTATTCCGGCTCTGCTACTGGCTCAGCCCGAGACCCGGCGAGGGTGGGGTGAGGCTGCGCAAAGAGCCTTCCTTTCTCAGCTCTTCCTCCATCACGCTGTGAGACTCAAGCCAGTCACTTAACCTCTCTGATCGCAAAATCAGGGGCTGGGTCAAAAAGTGATTATCCGATTCTGTAATTCGGAGACGCCTCCCACAAGGGGTGCCTTTGCCCCGCTGTCTGTAGAGGGAGAGTCTCAGACCTGGGTCCTGCTGACCTCCCCAGAGAGGGGAGGGAGGTGAGTGAGTGAGGGGGTGTGTGTGTGTCCGTGCCCAGGGGCTGAGGCAGGGGTAGTCCTAGAGATATAGTCAAAACTAGGGAAGTTAAGATATAGGGGGTGAGGGCAAGAAGAAAAGGAGAAGGGGTGCCCTGGCAGCCTGTGGGTAGGGTTCTCAGAAGGGGTCCCAGTGAGCACCCTGCTGGCTTTGCAGTGGCTCCTGTTGGCAGCCGGGTGCAGAGGAGTTTTTCTGGGGGTGAGAGAGGATGATACAAACACACGTTTTAAAGTTGGGAGAAACTATTAATTATTCAAGTCATGCTTCATAAATATTTCACGGTGAGTTTGCACGGGGAATCAGGCTCCATGCTCTGCCATCTCTTCACTTGGCTCTCTGGATGGAGGTGGAGGGACGGGAGAGGCACTCCCTGCATGGAGATCTTTAGGGACAGAACTGGTGACGAGGCCAAGAGGGCTAATCAGGGGTCCCTTGGCCTTGGCGTTTGGGTTTTGGGTAAATACACCCACACATCAGAGTCTGGGCTGATTTGTGGGGGGAAACTGAGGGAGACCCAGATCTTGCTCTCAACCTCAGCCCTGGGAAGGGGTTCCCCAGCATGTCCCAGGCCCTGAGAAGCACCCTGAGAAAGGGCTCCCCAACATGCCCCGAGTCCCTAAAAGAGCCCTAGGAAGGGCTCCCCAGTTGACTCAGAACCCCAGAGGAGCTAGGGGCTTCTGTGTGGGGCCCAAATAGTGCTACCCGCAAGCTCCCTCATGGAGTGGGGAGGCGTGAGGGCTCTGAGATGCTGGGGAGCACAACAGAGGGGCGTTGTGTCACTCTTTGCCTCCCTGATAAGACTCATGGGGACGTCTGCCCCCATTCCCACCCTGAACCCCTCGGGACTCTGTGGGGAGAGCCTCAATGACTGGGCCCTTCAATGCACATTGGGGTCTGGGGAGGAGTCTGGGGTCCTGAGTACCATTCCTCCTCCCTGAAAGTCTTCTCAAGGGGACATGTGGCACCAGGACAGTTCCTCAGAAATGCCCTTCAAATAGAAAAGTGACACAAATCTTTGGGTCCCAGGGACCCATTGGACCAATGCCTTTTTGCCTCGTGGCAACCACTCTCATCTCTCTGACCCACCCTTCTGCTCCAAACTCTCCTCCTCCCCTCAGCCCCCTTATCTCCCTCTCCTTTCTGTTCCCATCTTTTGGTGCAATTCCACATCATACCTTATGCCAGGAACAGCCTCCCACTACACAAGATCCAAATGGAAAACCATCTTCTGCCAGATCTGAAAACAGGTCCTGCCTTTCCATGGGCTCCTTCCATGAAGGCTTGCCTGCCTTAACACCCCACATCCAATCACATCCTCCTCCAGGGTACAGACAGTCATGCAGGTGAGACCGACCTTTCCTGAGAGCAGAAGGGGTCTTTGAATGTCTGCCATGTAGACGTATCATAACAATTAAGCCCAAGAGCAGAGGTCACCGGGCGCATTGTAGTTACCCAGTAAACGTCATTGCTCCTAGGCCAGCGGTCCTCTGCCGGAGCTGTGGTTAGAATCTCCTGGGGAGTGTGGTTTGGCTTAGTGGACTCCAGAGCATTTGCTTAAAGCCCCTCAGGAGATTCCAGTGTGCAGGGAGGTTTAGAGCTACGTAGGCACTGCGTACGCTAGCAAAGAAATAACCTGGGCTCCATTCTAAGGACTTATGGGTCCAACAGAGAGCAGAGGTATCAAGTGGCCACACTGAGTGCCAGTGCAGACAGACGCCGTGGAGTCCCTGATGAGCATGAGTGGGGCCACCAAGGGCTGGAGCTGCATATTCAGAGAAGGCTGAGGAGTGGCTCAGGAGCAGGGCTTGGAAGAATGGAGGTTATATGGCTTGGGGCAATGTGGCAAAGGAGATAGAGAAGAGAAGGGGGTGAGGCCATGCAAAGGCTGGGGAAATAGACTGGACAGGCAGGTGGACCAGACCAAGGAGCTTGGAAGACATCTAGAGACAGAGGGCGCCCTGAGCTCTTCTTGAGGTGGGGCTGACATGGTAGAAATGGTATTCCACTGTGATGCATGGATTCGAATGGGTTCAGACCAAAGGCAGGGATTTAAGGAGGCCATTGCAGGGGCAGCGAGAATGGGAAAAGTAAGACTCCAGGACATGGCGATGGAGTGACTGATATCAGGCATTGAGGGAAGCGGAGCCACGGCCACCAAGATTGTGGGCCTGGGTGAGAGGCCACTGACAGAAAGGAACAAGTGAGGGGGACGCACTGTTTGTGCAGCTGACAGCCTGGGTTGTTCATGGGAGGTGACAGCAGGACATGGAGGGGACGGTGGCCTTTGAGTTAGTCACAAAGGTGAGAGGCTGGGCTAGAGACCCAGCTGACACAGCTAAGACCCAAAGGGAACACCAGCTTAATGAGGTAGCAGCCATTCCTAGTACCATCCACTCTGTCACCGCCAAGGGACCAAGGATAAAAACCGTTCCGGACTGTTGACTGGCCAAGGAATCCAGGGCTTGCTTTGGCCGTGCAGAGCTGGCCTCCCTTTTACGCCAGCTGCCAGGTAATTTCAGAGCCAGACGTCACGCTCAGTCTTAGCATGCCACGTCCCACCTCCAACACTCAGTGAGTGTCGTCTCCATCTTTCCATCTCAGCCTTTCTCTCCCTCTGAGTATCTCAACTCTGCCGGAATAACAACTTATGTATCTACAAATACATATAATATACAATATACACACATACTCTCTCCATATAAATATAGATATGTTTATCACTAATTGTCTTAAAGTGTATTGAGTTTAACTTGGAAATTCCCTCAAATTCTTTCAGAAGAAGGTCGGGGTACAAATCCTAAACAAATCGGTAAAACTATACATCCGTTAAATCCAAATACACACAATTACGTATGTGTGCACTTCTCTGTGAGCTCCTGTGTGCGTTCAGTGACAGCCACTGTTGTGCTTATGAGGATGATGGTTCTCAAAGAGTGGAGGGGGAGTAGAGAGCGGGGCCCAGGCAGGAAGGGGCGTCTGACGCCATTCCACGGCCCCCACCACATTCACGTCTGTACGCAGGTGGGCGCTTCTAGACTCTGGCCTCCTGAGGGAGGGGCTGCGTTGTATCTGATTCAACACTGTAACATCCGCAAGCCAGGGCCACGAAATTATCTTATAAAACTCAACCAGTTAAGCAAGTATTTATCAAAGAAGCTAATGAGTATTGTGTAAGGTGATAAATGGTTGTCAGTTGAAGGGGGAAAGAAGGAGGAGGAGTAAGGCAGAGGAAAAAAAAGAAGGAAGGAAGGAAAGAAGGGGAAGGGAAGGAAGGAAAGAAGAGAAGGAGGGTGAAAATGGGTTCCCTATGACGTATTTCAGGGCAGTTGATGCTCAGGCACAAAATCCATCGCTTAGGCGCCCAGCTCCCAAAAGCAGCTCAGAATCATGAGGAAATTATACCATCACAGCTGTCATTAACCTGAGACGTTAGCTAGATGGTAAGACAGTTTTGGAAATGATGCTGTGTGCATGGCAGGGGACGTGCTCACGTCTCCAGCATCCCTGTCATCACAAGGCGTGGAGGTTCTAGATGTCCTTGCCCCCCAGAACCCTTCATCCAGAACTGCCGAGAGCTTGTCAGACAGCCTTTGCAGGGCCAGGGAGGGTCCGGCTGGAGGGCACGTGAGGGTACGGGGGAGATCTCCAGCGAGGCCATGAGATGGGGAGGGAGATTGGGGGAAAGGGTTATTGGGGTTGGGAGGTGGGTACTGGTGTGGGTAGAGGAACGTGGAGTAGGGGTGCAGGTGAGATGTGGGAGAATGCGGTGAGGTTAAGGAGGTTGTGGGATGCGCATGATGGTGATGGGGAAGTGGTATGAGTGAGGATGGGATGGAAATGATGGGGTGTCACTATACAGGGAAAGGGCAGGGCACAGTAGCCCTGGTGGAAATCATGGAAATCATAAAGGAAATGATACCAGAAGCGATAAATCGAATGTATGTCTTTTTCACAACAACACCATGGAGTAGATGCTATTGTTATCCCCATTTTAGAAATGAAGACACTGAGGCCCAAGTTCACCCAATTGGTATGGGGCAGAGCCAAGGCCGAATTCCAGGAATCCCGACACACGGCCACTCTCCCCTGCCCTACCACACTGCCCCTCAGCCAGGAGCCAAAGCAACTGCCCTGGAGCCACACGGCTGGGCACAGCACAGTCTGCATATGAATCCAGGTCTTCCAGACTTCCAAGGCTGTGCCCTCCTGCACTGTAGGATGGGACCCCCAGGCCCTTCAGCTGGGTCTGCTCACAGAGGCCTAGACAGGCCCAGCAATCACGGTAATGAGGTCTGTGGCCTGCACCTGGCCAGGCCGCTGGTGGCCAGAACTCACCATGAAGTAATAGAGCTGCGAGGACCGGGCCATGAACTCGGGCCGGCACACGGCCACACAGATCTCCACGAAGCCGGCGTGCTGGCTGGGCTTGGCCTCCCCCATCTCACACACGATCCTGCGGGGAGGAGAGGACAGACCCCATGGGTCACAGGAGGGTCACAGGACTCCCAGCAGAAACCCTTGGGCCCCACACCTCCCCAGACTCCCTTCTCTGCAGTGGGGTCTCAGCAATGGGCAGGGAAGGGGGAGGTAGAAGACATCCCTGATTCCTCCTCGCCCGGGCTCCTCCTTGGTTCTCAGGAATGGAGGAGATGCGACGTCCGGGAGTCTTTCTGGAGCCATCTGGAAAGTGGGGAGACTAGGGGAAGGTCCCTGTGTTCTGACCCCAGGCACTCAGCCCCTAATTCGTGAATTGTCCACTCAATTGTGAATTAGAGTGCAGGGAATATTTCAACCAAATAGTTCTGGGAATAGAGTGGACAGGGCCCAGAGAGGTCAAGTAACTTACCCAAGGACCCACAGCAAGTCAGACAGGGGCCTTGGAGCAGACCCAAGGTTTTCAGGTTCTTGCCTGGGAGCTCCTTGCTCCCAATGCAGGGACCGCTGCAATGAAGTGCTTTTTGCTCCCGGCCCCAGCTGGGGGTCAGGCAGTGGAGGAGATATTTGGGGGTGAGGGGGGAGCGTGGGCCAGGGGATGGGGGAGGAGAGTTGTAAATTTTTCTCTTTTAAAAATTTTTGTTTCAATTACAAAATTTGTTTAGACTCTGAAAATGAGACAGTACAGAAGTGTGACAGTAAAAAGTGTCCCTTTCTTCACTCCTAACTTCTCTTAAAAGTTTGCTATAGGGGCGGGTGCTGTGGCCCAGTGGTTAAGTTTGCACACTCTGCTTTGGTGACCTGGGGTTCATCGGTTCAGATCCTGGGCACAGACCTACACACTGCTCATCAGGCCATGCTGTGCCAGTGTCCCACATAGAAGAACTAGAAGGACTTACAACTAGGATATACAACTATGTGCTGGGGCTTTGGGGAGAAAAACAAAAAGGAGGAAGATTGGCAACAAGTGTTAGCTCAGGGCCAATCTTCCTCACACACACCAAAAAAACAACTTTGCTATATATATCCTTGAAGACCTTTTTCTAGACCTATGTAAATATATATATATATTATATATATAATATATATATAAACTCCCCTTTACAAATAAAGAAGTACAGAAAAGATAAGCAACTTGCCTAAATATATTTGCACATGTACGCACACCTATGTGTCTATATATTTATGTTTTATATTATGCACACAGATAAATGTAAATGTCACATATATAGATACACACACAACTATACACAAACATACACACACACGATTGTTAAATAAAAGTGAACCATAACCACCCCCTGATCTACACTCCTGTCTTTTTACTCAACGGGACAGCATGGACTTCCCGTCAGGTCACTGGATACACAGCCCTGCTCTATTCTTTTCAGCGGCTTCACAGTATTTCATCCCGTGACGTCATCATCGCTTGTTTAACCATCCTCCTATTGATGTACATTTAACTGATCCCGATTCTTCTCCTATTCCAAATAATCCTGCAAGATGAACCAATTTATGCACACATCCTTAAGCATTGTGTATTTATTAGAATAGGTTTCTGAGGAAGGAACTTGCTGGGTCATTGTTGGTGGATTTAATGTTTGATAGGTAGAGAGAAATAATGGTCCCTAAGGGCTGTACCGATTTGCACTTCTATCAACGGCAATTGAAGGAGATTACTTCACTCTTTTGCAAATACCAGATATTATCAGTCCTTTGAAAGTTTTTCCAATATAATAGGAAATGATCTCATTTTCATTTTCATTTTTATTTTCCTGATTGCTAGGGATGTTGCACACATTTTCGTGTTTGTGTATGTGGGTTTTAAAAATCTTATATAGCCTTTCCTTTGACTTATCTGAAGCTCTGTCTTGTTTTGCTAATGGACTGTCCTTTTGTAGGAGCTTCTGAATCGGAGTATTAGCTTTTGTCTGTAATAAATATTGCTGCTGTTTTCTCCCAGTTGGTCACCTGTCTTTCAACTTTGTTTATAATGCCTTTTGCCACCCTAAAGTTCAAAACCATCGGTGTTGTTCAATTGCTCGTTCTTTTACATTATGGCTTCTGTGTTTCTCTTAGAAAGAACTTCTGGGTGAGTGTCCAGCAAAAATCTATGCCTTTCTGTCCAGATAACATAATTAACACATGTTCAGTGTAAAAAAAAAAAAAGAATGTACATAAAAAGCACTTGCCGTACATACATACACCCGCCCCCCCTCCCCCCCACCCCATCATTGCATCACTCAGAAATATCCATCGTCAACATTTTGGTATCCGTGTTTCCAGTCTTGCTTTTCTTTTAAAAATTAGTTAGGAACTCTGTAGTCTGCTTGGTCACCTGTGTTCTCACTTAATATACCTTAAGTGCCTGCCTGGTCATGATTTTTCTGCAATATTAGATTTAATGTCTGTGTGGTTTACTGTCCGGTGCGTATACGATAATTTATTGAACTGATCAATTCCCTATTTTTAGACATACAAATTGATTCTAAATTTTAACTGTTGTAAATAAGGCTGAAATAATCATTCTTGCAAATAGATATTTTTGCATTCTGGCTGTTTAGGGAAAGTTCTAGAAGTATTATGGCTGGGCTAAAGACTTTCAATCCATACTTCCAAAGTGCCTTCCAGAAAGTTCATCCCAGTATACCCTCCTGATGTGAACAGATGAGAGTGCTACTTCTCATGCCTCTTGTCTGCACAGGGCATGCACTTTTAAAAACTGTTCCCCATTGTTTTAATTTGCATTTCTTTGATTACTACTGATGTTAAACTTTTTCTGGGGGGGTGCTTTTTTTTTAAGATTGGCACCTGAGCTAACATCTGCTGCCAATCTTCCTTTTTTTTCTTCTTCTTCTTCTCCCAACACCCCCGCCCAGGTACATAGTTGTATATTCTAGTTGTGAGTGCCTCTGGCTGTGCTATGTGGGACGCCACCTCAGCATGGCCTGATGAGTGGTCCCATGTCTGCGCCCAGGATCTGAATTGGCGCAACCCTGGGCCGCTGAAGCGGAGCGTGCGAACTTAACCACTCGGACACAGGGCTAGCCCCTAAACATTTTTCTATCTGACTTTTGGTTCTTTGTCTGTCTTGTGAATTGCATGTTCATGCTCTTTGCTCCTTTTCTGATATTTGCCTTTTATTATAGAACCTCTTTCTAAGTTAAGAAAAAGCATCTGTTAACTATAACAGGGTATAACCATATTTCTAGTTTATCATGCATATTTTTATTCTGCTTATGATAATTTTTAATGTACGAGTTTTAGAATTTTCTGGACTCAAATCCCCAATCTTTTCCTTTCTGTTTTTCTTTTGCAGTGATACTTAGAACACCTTCCCTTCCTTGAAATCAAATAAATTCTCACTTGTATTGTCTTCTAATCTTTTCACAGTTTCATTTTTTATCACTTAACTCTTTAATCTGTCTGGAATGTATTTTGGTGTATAATGTGAAATAAGAATCTGATATTGTATTTTTTTCCAGGAAGCTAACAAGCACCACTTATTGAATGATCTTTCCTTTCCGTGTTGATTTGAACTGTCACCTTTATCACATACTAAGTTTTTATATATCAGGATTCTTTTTCTGGGTGTTCTATCTTATTCCACTGATCGAATACTACAATACTTTAATCATGTGGCTTTATAATAATATCTTTTATATTTGGCTATGCAGGTCCAAAGGAGGACGTTTTAAAGTTCCCCAAATCACAATATATTGGTAGCAGCCTGCTTTGGTTTTGTTCTAGGAAGAACTCAGAGTTTCGAAGGATCCATAGAAAGACCTTTGGATAAATGAACGATGATGGACCATGGAGGTGAGTTCTACCAGACAGGAGCCTTCATTCATCTGCTCTATGAGCACCTCAGGAAGACTCAGATGGAAATCAGAAGGACGAGGATGGCAGTACTGATGGTTCCAGAATGACTAAATCGAGCAAGACCCAGCAAGCAGAAGTGTAAACTGCACTGACCTACCTAAGGGATGACTTACAAACAGTCAATAACTGATGCACACAGGACAAGTGGCAAGGTTTCAATCCAGGAGAGGCAGCCAAGATAGTATAGAATATAGATTCTATTGTGCTGATAAACACTTCATGGTTGTGTTTGCTGGGCTGGAAAATTGTGTTTACTTATTTACAAGGCAATACGTGACTCACAAACCTCCTCCAACAGGTGGGTTAGAGGTCAAGGTCACTTGTTGAATGACCTTGCACTCAGTGCACCAGCAGACCTTGCAGAGAGGAAAACAATGCAAAGCACCCACAGGCCTGGGGGTGGGTGTGCAGTTTCATTTTCAGTCTCCACAGAGACTAGCATAGGATCAGCTTCTTTCATAATTGGGAGAGGACAGAAGTGGGGAGTTGGGGACAGCAGAGGGAGTCGGGGTAAGGATTTGAACTCATACTTCTCCTGTAGATTTTAATTTTGAATTGTCTCACCCCTACCCACAGCCACACCCTGAGGATATAACAATCACTTTTCTCTTCTCTCCCAGCCTTTCCCTTTCTTCTTTCTGCACTTCCCCCATGTGGCAAGTAGCTAGTTCAGAGGCTGGGAGTTGTGGGAGCCACCCCCTGCCACATCCTAGAATGTTAGGGGCATTCCCTCCCCTTCCCAAGCTCTAAGACTGTCTGTTGTTGGGCAGGGAAGGTAAGTCAACAACAGACAGTTGTACCCCCCCCTTTCTCAGGTGGCTTCCACTCACTGTTCTGCAGGGATGTAGCCGTCCACCAGAGGGCTGCAGTCCACGCCGGCCACCTTGACATGGGAGGCGATGTCCCGGAATTCCAGGCCCAGGTTCTCCCCTCGGATGGTGACCTTGGTACCCCCTTCACGGGGGCCTGTCACTGGGATTATCTGGAGGGAGGAAGCATGGGGATTTGGCAGGCACCAAGACAGAGCCATCACCCTCTTCCTGATGAGGCAAGGAGAGGTTGCTGGCCCCTCCCCATCTCTGCCGGATTCCCTCAGTTGGGTCCGAGTCCACAAGGGCACCCAAGGGACTGTCAATGGACAGGAGCTTGTGACAGAGCAGTCCATGTTTATGTGTGGTTTTAGGAGCAGTGTTCAAAGCTCCTCGTTCCTCTTCCCATTTCACAGAAGTGATGAGGGAATGGGATGTGATCTGCAGTGCTGCTGGGTAATTCACAGAAAGTCAACATTAGGGCCTTCTGGTTTGTTCCACTTTCAAGGAAAATGAGCAAGCCTCCTATCAACCCATAGCCCTCCACACTATGGCAAACCACCCATGTTTCCAGACCCTTCTCAAATGTCACTTCCCCACATCAGATGTTCTTTCTCCCTCTCTACTGAAATTTCAAGGCAGCTTCTTTGTGCTCCTTTCATGGTAACAATTACTTGTGTCTGATTCCTCATGCCTCAGATCCTGAGTCTCTGAGAGCAGGGAGGGTGTGTCACTTCTCCTTGTGGACTTCTCAGTGATGGCCCCATATTTGTTTCTTGAGTTGTAATTGTGTTGAAACCCCTGACAATCCAAGCACCTTCCTGGAGTTAGAAGAGCATTTGTCACAACTCCTTTGCCTCTACTGTTCAGCTTGGTTTCTAAGGAGTTGGGTTTGGTTTAGACTTTACCCTCATACACTGGCCAAAATGACCAGCTTCCCCTCTTGAGATGTCACTGTTGGTGTTAAAAACTCATGATTGGAATGTTGGGATTCAACAACCAAGGGCCTGCTTGGAGGTTGGGACTCCGTACAGTTCACACGATCTAATTATGACATCCCACATTGGTGACCTTAGTGGCAGGAGGCCCTCTGTGCCAGCCTCTCCTGGCATTTGACAGACCAGAGAAGGGCACACTTCCCATTCCTGGGGCCTCTGAACACCAGCCCCTGGATCCTGACCAATGTCAATGGGACCTCAATGGAAGGAGCCCAGATAGCCCACCACTTAACGCTCCTACCCTCTCCACCCCACCAGGGTCACAACTGGTGGTGCCATCTTGCGGGGAGGGTGAGAGATGGGGAAGGGGAAGAAACTAGTCTGGGGCTCCCCTGAGTGGCAGCTTTGCCGGGGGAGGCTGTTCATCTATAAAAGTCAAGATATTTCCTGCTTCTTACACATGCATGTTTGTGAGTGAGCGTGCAGGAGGGTGAGCGTTTGCACATGTGTGCTCCCACTGCAGTGGAAAGACAGATCCCTTGGAGACAGGGGCCCATTTCTATGTGAGGGAGGTGGACAGAGAAAGGGAAGGCTGGAAGGGAGAGTCCGTCTTCTTCCCAGATGCCTGCCCAGCCAGTCCCCAAGGCACCAGTGGCACCTGGCAGCAGCCGCTGCATGATGTTCCAGCCCTGGCTTGCTGTCCTGAAAAAGGAGTTTTCTCTCTGGCCCAGGCCTCAGTTCCCAGGTTCCTGGAGGGCTGATGCCAATGTGGAGCCAGGAAATAGCCTCCAATGCAGAGAGATTTGTTTCATTTACCATCCCCTCAGTAATTTTCTTGGTCTCAGGCCAAGAAGAAAGCAAGTCCACTGTTTGTGGCAGACACATCATTGGCAGTCATGTGTGGCAGCCCCCAGGGAGGGTTTCTTGTTAAGGGCTCTGGGAGGGGAGGGGAGCAGAAGGGAGGAGAGAAGGGGGCCCGGCCTAGGTGTGGGGGCCAGGGACAGAGGGGCGTCCATCTGCCCTCCTTCTCGAGATAATTCTTTGAGTTAAACGCGTAAGTATTTCCCCCCAGTTTGAGAATCACTGTTGAGATTCCTGCCCACGCAGGAGACTAAGGTAGGAACTGAGAGAAGCTCCCCGTATCTGGGAAACTAGAAGGTAGGAGGTGAAGGGGCTGAAGTGGGGACACAGCTAGGGGACCACTCCGAGGGGCCGCTTTGCTGGACAAGGCTGTTTCCTCCCTGAGCCAAGCCCCTTCCTGCCTTTGCACATCCCCGGTGTGCAGGCCCAGGGGAATGTGTGGGTGTCTTGCCTTTGTGGTGGAAGAGAACATTAATCTAGGAACCGAGGGACCTGGGATCAGAGCGCTCTGAACTGATTTACACTTTGGTTGGAGTGAAGCAGCATGTCTGAGCACTGGCCTTTTGTCAGGGAAATGTTGGTTAAAAACCCTGGCCTTGGCAGGCATTATGGGTTGAATCGTGTCCTCGCAAAATTCGTACATTGAAGTCCTCACCCCCAGGACCTCAGAACGTGACCTTATTTGGAGAGAGAGTCTCTACAGAGGTCATCAGGTTAACATGAAGTCATTAGGGTGGGTCCTAACCCAACACGACTGGTGTCCTCATAAAAAGGGGAAATTTGGACACACAGAGACACACATGGAAGGAAGATGATGTGAAGAGACACAGGGATAAGACGGCTGTCTACACGCTGAGGAGAGAGGCCTGGAACACATTCTCCCCTCCTGTCCCAGAACAGAACCCTGCCGACACCTTGATCTCGGACGTCAAGCCCCCCCGAACCGCAAGACAATACATTTCTGTTGTTTAAGGCACCCAGTCTGCAATGCTTTGACAGCCCTAGGAAACCACATGGTAGGGTTGCTGTGAGGACTGATGAAGTAGGGGATATCAAGCTCTTTTGCAAACTATGAACAGAACCACACAAGCATCCGGCATGTTACCGTGACTGCCGTTGTTAGATTATGGGATACATGCGTGTTTCTGAAACTGGACACTCACGCATGCCCAATCTATCCTCACTATGTAGGGAGCAGAGGCTGAGCTTTCTCCCTCTTCTCCCCCACCCCCCTCCGCTTCATTATAACAGAAGATTATATCATAACATTTGTCTTGATAATCTGCATCCACTGTGGCAAAGAGGCCTGAGCGCCTCCTGTGTGCTAAGTGCTGTGCTGGAGGCACGGAGGTGAGGCAGACATGGTCCTGTTGTGGAGACATGCGTGCCTCGTTCTTATTTACCAGGAGAGCAAGGGACTCCGGCCACGGTGGAGGGGGGACCTCAGGGGGTCTTTCTGCCAGGAATGTGGAGTGGGGAGGTGAAGACATGGGATGACCTAAAGACACCCCAGGGGCAGTGATTCCCTTGGCTCAGACATGCACGGCAATGACTTTAACAACGTTGGCGATGATCGAGGAGGAGGACGTGAGATCGCTGTGGGCTGGGCATGGAGCCTAGTGTTTTGCATGTGTTCTCTCATACAATCCTCGTCGCTCTCCTGTGAGGTGGATGCTTAGACCCACTGCACAGGTAAGGAGGCTGAGGCATGGAGATGGTACCCAGCAATTAGTTGGCAGAGCCAAGATTCAAACCCTGTTCTCTGTGACCCACATGTCTGCCTGTTTAGCTCTGCCCTGCCCCTCACTGCTCTCTGCTCCATGGCCTATGACCCTCTGTCTTCCTGAACTGTGCTCCTAGGCCATCTTACAGCCTAGGTCTTGCTTTGGGCAAGTCCTGAGATGTGGCCATTTCGACCTCCTCCACCTCTTCAGGGCTGGGCTCTGTGCCCTTGACCCCCATGCAGCCTCCACTCACGGGCTGGCTGCCTGGTGAGGCTGCCGCTGATGGAGCCTCATGGCCTTGTCACTGAGACCGTTAGAGACAAAGGGAGGGTGGCAAGGACTTTGAGGCCTTTTCAGTACAGCTCATGTGGAGACTTCAACAGGACAGTCGAACCCCTGTCTGCTTTCGAACTCCCTTGATACTGGAAAGACCTCGGAACCAAGCCTATAGCTTCTGGACAAGCTGTGCAGGAAAACGAGGATGCCTCTAGCCAGCTGGGGCATCCAAGTACACCTGGTTGTCACTGGGTGATGGACACCAAGGCCACATGGCTTTCAGGGCCCCAGCCCCATGGCAGGGCACGGCTCAGCAGCCAGAGCAGGCCCCGTGGAGGGTGGCTTACCTCGGTGATGCGGGGGTTTGTGCACTTGCTGTTGGCGCCCGACAGCTCCAGCCACTGGCTCTCGTGGATGGGGCAGTGCTGCCGCAGGGTGCACTGGGCCTGGCCCTGGCACCAGCCGCACTCGAAGTCTGGGTCCGCCTTGAGGCACAGCCCGCAGCTCTCACGCATGGCTCCACACTTGTAGAGGTGAACTGTGGGCAAAGGCAAGTGGTCCTTTGGGGCGGGGGGTAGGGGCAGTGAGGGGCCAGGGAGTGTGGACAAGGAGCACAGTCCCGGCCTGGCCTCAGATGGTGGCACGCCTGCCCACGAATGCACAGCTGCTCCCTCCCTCCCCCCACCTCCCCACCAGGGCCCACCTTCCACACCTTTATTCTGAGCTGGGTTGTCAATATTGAAGTGCCCGTTCCACACGACCGTCAGCTCCACGGGCAGGTTGTTGATCTCCATCCCTTCATAGGAATACTGCAGCCAGGTCAGAGAGGAAGGAAGAAAGCTGGGTCAAGGAGATTTCTAGTGAGGGCCAAATGTTCAGCCTGGGGCCCTCAAGAGTGTACAGGGCTAAGGACTGGCCAGGACTGTGCATGTGTGCGTGTGTGTGTGCACACGCATGTGTGGGTGGGCAGAGTGGGGAAGCACATCTCAGGAACGAGGAGCAGGAGATAAGGCCTGAGTGGGACCACAGCTATGTGGGACGCCCATTTGGATGCGGGTTCACGGAGCAGATCTGAGCAAGCTACTGGTCCACCTTCTATGGAGGCCTGTGCCCACCAGCCGTCGTTCCCCAGGAAGTTTAACTGAGAGAGGAGCCCACTTCCTCCCTGACTGCCCAGGGGAACCCTGGCCTTTGGGCCCTGCCAGGCCCTCGCTTTGATTTGGAACTTTAATTTCTAGGAAATGTTCAGAAACCTAGAGAAGGCTGATCAACCCCCAAGCAGAGAGCAAGAAGTGAAGGGGTTGCACTCATCCGGATGAGTGGCTAGGGTTTAAGAGAGAAAAGGACTGGGGGGAGCTCAGAGGTGAGGTGGGAAGTCCCAGGGACACCCTCGAGAACAAACAGGAATCTGGGTCAGGACTCCAAAGACTCAATGACAGGGTGCAGGCCCCAGTTCTGTGCTGCCCACATGGGAGCTGCCTTCAGACCCGCACAGGGTGTCCTCTCGGTCCTGCTTCTCTGCTGGCTCTCCTCCAGAGTCTGATGCCCCACTCTCTGGGTCCTGGCCTTGGGACAGTGGTGCTAAGAGGTAGGGAGGGGGTGAAGCAGGAGTTGCTGCTGCTCAGATGCCAGGCGGGTGGAGGGGCAGCCCCTGGGCATGCCAGCCCCCATGCCTTCTGATGGCAGACACTTCTCCATCCCAGAGAAGGAGGGTAGGTGACAGGAACCCACGCCTGCCCTGGGCGGCATTTCCAGTCCTTACCTGGTGATTTTCTCATTATTCCACCAGACTCGCCCACCACAGGGGGTGGATGGAGGAGTGGAACTGAGACAGGTTTTCTGTAGGGGAGGAGATCAGGGCTGGCAGCTTGTTCAAAGAGTTCAGTCCAGGTGACTTGGTTGGAAGTTGTGTTTGTAGAGCCAACAGGCTCTTTTAACTCAGAGTTAAAGTTTAGGGGGCCTGGCCTGTGGCGGTATCGGTGGATATTATGGCAGCTGATGCTCCCTCTGCCAGGCTAGCCGCAGCACCTGTACTGTGGGAGGACAGCCACAGAACCTCGGGGATGCATGGCTGGGGAGGGTCTCTGGGCCCGTCATCCATGCCTCTGCCTCTGTAGCCCATTCACAGAGGCTTCTAAAAGAGATGGTATAATCCTAATCTGGGATACTGCCCTAAATGCCCGAGTGCTCCAACGTGAACATGTCGTGACGTCATCCTCGTACACAACATAAGCAGGATGTACGTCCAGCCTTCTTCAGGCTCTACCCTTCTCCAGTGCTCCACAATGTCCCACTAACTCCCTGGGGACGGATGCCCAGGCCAGGGAACCGAGGTCAGTGTTTTTACCACAACGGTGGTAGTTTGCACGCACCATCCACCGTCTCAGAGACGATGACCTGAGCCAGGACAGGGTCTGGGCTCCAGCCACAGAATAAAGCAAAGCTCCCTGGCCCTGTGCAAACAACAGTGGAGAATTTTTTTATCATCACATCACTCAGCTGGCGACTCGTAAGCTCTCTGCTGTGTGGCACAGCAATCAGCTCCTCAGAGATGAAGGTCTTTGTGTCTGGGGCAGGCTGGGGGGTTCCAAGTCATCCTGAGTTTTCTCAGAGAACCTCTTGTACTCTAGGTTCTCAGAGTGGTCTAGGGACCACCTTCATCAGAATCATTCGGGGGATGGGATGGGGTCTACTAAATGCAGGTTCCAGGGCCCTCCAGACCTGCTGAGTTGAAATCTCTGGAGATGGGGAGCATTTTGAACAAGGTATGCTGGTGCTTCTGGTGCTGTGTGAGCTAGAGCCTCTGCTCCCTGCAGTGGGCTGGAAGCAGGGAGACGGGACTGCCGGTAGAGAGAGGTGTGTAGGGAGGAGGGAGGGGGAACACTTTTCCAGACCTTCCATTTCCTCCTCTAGCCAAGCTCCACTTCCCATCCCTCCCATCCCCCTGCCCATCTCCCTTCTCCAAGGCCCCAGTGGGGGAAAGGTGGTGAGCCTGGGCCAGAACTCAAAGTGGAAGCAGCAGGTGGTGACGAGGGATGTGTGGCCAAAGATCAATAGAACCTTCTGGCTCCTCTCGGGAAGGATCTGAACACCCCCAAGGAGCAAGGGAAGACATACTGCACGTGTGTGCGTGCGAGTGTCTGTGTGCACAGATGTGTCCCCATGCCTGCTGACTTGAGAAGATGTCAGTGCACATATCTGTATCATCCATGCATTCATTCATGCCTGTGTACATGGGCACACACATGCAACACACGTGTTCTGCCACAAAGTGGCTCTGCAGTGACCAGCTGCAGGCAAATCATCTAGGCCTCAGTTTCCCCCATTTGTAAAGTGGGACTTGCAAACAATGCATACCTCATAGGATTGCTGTGAGGGTTCGAGATAACCATCGATGCTCTGAGCACAGTGCCTGTCACATAGAATGAGCACTCAAATATTACAGTGTATTTTAATCTATGTGTATACACTCAAGGATGCTATGCAAAAATATATTTGTGTTCCCTGTGTTTAAGTTTATGTGGAATAATAATAGCAGCTATTTATTGAGTGTTTACACAGCAGACACTTGGTACATATGGAAATGGATGCGTACGAGAGCGCATATGTGTTCAGATGTGCATGTGTGTGTGCATATTTTCTTTCTGAAGAAAATTGAAAATAAAAAAGACTTTAAGGATCACATATGTTGGGCATTGCTTTCTCTTTCTTTCCTCCATTCTTGGGATCTTGACTATGAAATATGACAGAAATCATTAACCCTGGGGTGCTCCCCACCCCTCCTCAGTCTCTAGGGAAGTCACTCTGTTCCTGGAGACCCTCTCTCCTCCATGACCTGCATCCCGCAGGGGAAGGGCTGGCCAGCTAGGGAGCCTAGACCACTGACTCCCGTCTGCCATGATGGCTCTCCACCTCCGCTCCCATAAACGTTCCACTTAGCATTTCCATAGCTCTCTGTAATCAGTGGGCAGTTAATCTGCACAAAACCCAGAGCTGAGGGAGGAGGCTCTCAGGCTCCCAGGGGCCGGGAGGTTAGGTGTGTCCATCAAGGTCAGGCACACCATGGCCGGCCAGAGGATGACATGGCTCATTGCCTTGGGAAAGAGTGGACCTCAGTTTCTCCACCTTCTAAAACAAAGAGAAGACCTCTATGTAATTTGGACTTTCTTTCTACAACCATTCCTTTGTCCCAAGCTCTGAGATATTTTGCTAGAAAGTTCTACCATTCGGGCAAACAAATCTGAACAACATAAGAAGCCTGCGTGTGCTCCATGTCCCTCTCCAGGACCCCAGAGGGCTCAGCAGACCCATTCCCATCTGAGTCCCAGGAGAGCAGGAAGGCGGACAAGCTACCTCCCCATTGGTGTCCCCATCCCTGTGTTACATGCAGTAAACTGGGGCACTGAGAGAAAACATGAGACCACTGGGGGTGGCTGGAAGCTGGGCCTGGAGTCCCAGGGCCTCATGGCCAGCACTCCGGCCAGCTGCTTCTCCTGTGCCCACGTACTCGCGGGACTGACGGGACTAAGAGGAGAGCCCTGGGCACTATTATTAGCAGCACTTGACATTTCCCTGGAGCCGTGGTCTAAAGGAGACCATGGACCCCACAGTTACTCCCCTCTAGCTATGCCTGTGAGCTACCCTGTTCCCCTCCCACAGGCCCCCAGGGCTGCAGCGATTGGCCCAGGGCCTATCCCCAAATAGTGGGCTGGAGGCCACCTGCCTGCTCACCCAGCCCCACGTCATGCCCACCCTGAGTTTTCCTAGGTCTCTTTCTTTCCTTGCTCTCCTCTGAGACCTCTTTGTCACCCACCTCCCCCATCCCAGAGAGCTCAGGGATGGAGGATGTCAAACAGCAGTACTTCTTCTCCCACAATCCTCTCTGAGGCAGGTCAGACCCTGCTCCCAGGGATAACACCAAGGTGGGGGTATAAAGTGCTCAGTTGCTATTTTTTGCTCAACCTTTGATTAAGGGGTGTGTTATGAAACTGGGTTCAAGTTTTCAATTTGCTGTTTATTTGCTATGTGACCTAGGGCTGGTCATTTGCCCTCTCGGGGCTTCAGAGACCACGCCCACCCCACCCCACCCCAGCACAGGATCAAGTAGATACTCTCTCAGGTTTATTCCTGCCCTGATGGTACACTGTTTCCTATAACAGTGGTAGGGGATGCTCACCCCTGATTATGACCCCAAGGATTTTTTAAGGAAGTCACTTGATGGTAAGTGTCATCCTGGCCCAGACTGGAATTTAAACTGGGATCTCACTGCCCCGCATGAAAAGAGAGGCTCCTGGGAAAAGTCAGAGCCCAGCCCTCCTGTACTGCATGACTCCAGTGGGTCCCAGTAGGTAGACGGGATACTCCTGGAATCCACTGTTTGTGGGTACCCCCCCTGTTGCCAAACCTTCTAAAACTTGCAAAGAGTAGAGAAACGAAATTCCCCACCCCCTCCCTGATGGGGTGCTGAACTAAAACAGGTGTGGGCAGAGCCTGGCTCAGCTGCTCTGGGAGCAGCAACGTGGAGGCCCTGAGAACTGTCCGTGGGGGGAGGGGAGGTCTCAGACTGACACCTAACTCAGGGTGGGGGGCCAGAGTTCAGCATGAGGGCTCCCCAGCTCCTGAGGGGAGGGCAGGCAGATGGGCCGGGATCTGAAAAGTCACATCCTCTCCTGGCGGTCAGAGCCTTGGGGTCCAGCCTGTGGCCCCAGTGTCATGTGTTTCCACCACGGCTCTGGTGTCTGCATGTCTCCAGGAAGCAGATCTGGAGGAGCCTGAGCCTGTACTCAGGAGGCTGGCTGAGTGGGCAGGACCTCGCCCAGGGCGTGGGGCCCCCAGGGGCTGGAAGCTGAACTGACCATTGTGTCCTGGGGCGTCAGGCTTCCAGGTGGGAAATTCCCACATAAGGAGCTGCGTGATCTGCTGATTTCTTAAATCCCAAGATTTGGATGTCAGACAAGCAGATGTCCCCCATGGAGCCCAGTGGTATCTTTCCTTGTTCCATTGGTACTGACCAGGGTACAGCAGCAGATTCCCTGGGGGGCACCACAGAGGAGAAGACCCGGCCCTTACTTATCCAGCCCTTACCTGTGGGGGCTGCTGAATTCTCATTTGTGTCCTTGTTCCCAAGAGGCTCTGATTTTGCTCCCACATTCAGGGAGTTAGTTCCCTGTGACCCTATAGGGCTCATTCATTGAGGACAGCTGAACACAATCGGCTTCCAATTCTGGCAGTACACAGAAAGGCAGCGGGTCCCCACTCAACTTAGTCCCCAAGGCACGGACAGAGTTCTGACCCCCGAGGTTTAGAGAACGAACTCGGCCTGTCCTCTGGCGTATGCTTGTCTATTTAACCGAGTCAGCTGAAGCAAGTGGCCCCGTGAGGTCCCATCTTGTGGCGTCTGGGGAACTGAGGGTTGGATCATCAGAGACTGCAGACTCTGTCCTCCGTCCTGACACCTCTGGGGCCTGAATCCCTGCACAGCTTCTCTGAGCAAACGAGGCCGTTTCCCCGTGGTCTGAAATCCCTCCGTGCCTTCTGCTGGGTCAAGTGTGGGACTCAGGCTTTCTCTTGTCACAGGGACTTCCTTATTGGGGGAGAATCACTGGAGACAAACCCATGGGACTGCTCTGTTGGCCTCAGGATTTACAGGAGCAGGAGTGTTTAATACCCCTCTGCTTGCGGGTTTAATCCGGAGCAGCCTGGCCCCCAGGCCAAGAGGGAGATGTGCTCAGGGCAGCAGTAGGGACACTGCTGGGGTTTCAGAGGCTGGGAGACCAATTGCCAGTTCAGTCCCCATAATGCTGAGTGACTTTGGGCTAGCACGTGGGCCTCTCTGAGCTCCGCAGATGCCCAGACGGCTGTCTGCTGGAAGAGTGGGGCGCTCCCACGATGCGCTTGGTGCAGGACTCTCCCAGTCCCACATCACACCCCCAAATACAGTCACTGCATACAAGGATCCAGGAGGAACGAGAAGGATGAACAGGAGGCAGTGTGACACAGGAGGAGACCCCAAATCCAGGCCCGGCCCTGCTACTCACTAGCTGTGTGACCTTGTGCACATTGCTGACCCTCCGGCAGGGGCAGGTTACCCCAAGGCGCGTGGAGCTTCGGCCCCTTCTGAGGTCTGCCTGTATATCTAATTTTGTATTCATTGTATTTTATTCTTCCTAAGGGTCCCCTAGATTGTATAACTCTCAGCCCCACAAACTGAGATCTGCCCCTGCTCCTGGGCCCCCAGTTTCTCTTTGTACAGTGAAGAACGTTAAGGTTTCTTACAGCTTGAAAATGTCATGAGTTTATGAGTCGATGTTTGATTCTGAGGATCTGGGTGCACAGAAGCAGACCCAAAAGAGAACAAGAAAGAGCAGAGCAGGGGCTGGGAAGGCCACAAGGCAGGGAGAGGAGCAGGCAGGAGGAAGGTACCGTGTAGCGGGATACACTGCTGGTACCTAGGAATCAGGTGACAGAGGTTGGCAGCAGGGGGCCTGGTGTGGATTTCCAGATACTGGGTAGGGGTTGCATGGGTCTAAGCAGGCACTCCTGGCAGCTCCCTCCTGGGCCACGGCTCCCCCTGCAGCGGCTCGGGCTGTCTCAGAAGCCCCCTGTGCTGGCCAGTGGGCTCTGTGCAGGTGTAAAAGCAGCAGTGGGCTTTTGGGGGCCCAGATGAGGCCCTCAGGTCAGCCCGGGTAGGAAAGCGGGGCCCAGGGCCTCCAGAGCTTCTCTCAGGATGGAGGATGGACATGAATGTTCCTGGAGCCTGACAGGCCCTGCAAATACATCTGCCCACAGGCAGTGCTCAATGGCCCCATGGCTGCTCCGAAAGCCCCTCTCACTGCAGCCCCTGTCTTGGGCAAAAGCCCACTGTCACCACAACAGGGCCACAACTCTGGGAAAACTTGGAGACCTCGGAGCCCAGCCCTCTGCTAGCCTGGTTGTAAGGGATTGGGCTGGGCGAGCAGAGTCGGGGGAAGCAGTCGGGCATGCAGCTGAGCAGTTTTGTGAGTGTTTGGGAAAATCCTGCGGAGCTGAGCTGATTTGGCCCTAGGATGGTGATGGCACTGGAGGAGGCGGGGTAGGCTGCCTGGAGGTGGCGGGGCTGGGGCACTCACAGAGGTGTTCTGGCACTGCACGCTGGAGCTGTTGAAGCGCAGGGCGGGCACCCTCTGCTCGCTGCCCTGGATGTTGAGAATGCATTCATACCCGCGCTGCCCGGACTGCGGCTGCGGCAGGTTCTTGGCCTTCAGAGTGATGGGCTTGATCACCTCCACGGGCACCAGGATCTTGTCCACTCGCAGCAGCTGGGGGCAGTCCTGGGGACAGAGAGCACGGTGCAGGCTGGGGAGCAGGAAGCCAGGGGTGCAGGAGGCTCTCTGACATAACCCGGATGTTCACCCTGCTCCACCCTCCCACGCACACCCACAGGCCATCCTGGGCACTGGTGCCCACCTCCAGCTACTGTGCGGGAGAAATCCCAGGTCCCCGTGTCACCATCTTGAGGCCACTCCTCACTGAGGCCATTCCTGCTCTCTCCAGGCTCCATTTTAATGCACTCCACACTCTGACACTCCTTGTGGTCTCTCTGGGCACCCTCCTAGCCTAGCAGACAGACCCTGCTGGCTGGGCAGCCCGTCCCACTTCAGGCTAACAACCCCTCTGCCTCAGTTCCAGGCTCCCAAGAGTTGGGACAGAGGGGCCCATGAGAGCAGCTCTGCAGTGAGGCAAAGCCCTTTGCCCCAGCTCTGGAATGTGAGTCTGGCCCACAGTAGGAGGGGCCACGAGGACCTTCCAAACACGGGCTGAGTCTGGCATTTGGCAATATTCTAGAATGAGCTCCAGAGACCTTTTAAATCCAGAAGCTTTTGACAGAGCTCTGGGGTTGGCCTGACCCCAAGGAAATGCCCCTCAGAGCAGATGCACACTGAGTGCCTCCTAGATGCTAGCAACGGGCACACTCCTCCCTGGAGCTGAATGGGGCCTGGAGGGTCTTGGGGGATGGGAGAAATGAATCACTGGGCCCCTTTTCCCTGGGGCTGTTTGCCTTCTCCAGGGAGGGCTGGGGGGAGAATGGGGTCAAATAAGGAGCGTGGGTGCGTCACCCAGCTGAGAGATGGAAACTGTGTGCTGCTGGATTCTCAGCAGCTGGGTGGAAGAGAGTCAGCATTGCTGGCCTGATTGGCATGGGCAGGAGTGAGAGCTTCTGCAAACACAAGCAGGACCTGGGCACCTGTGTCAGGCAGGTCCCACCAACCCCAGATTCTTCCCATTATGGCACCGTTTGGATATATGCAGACAGATGGTTTCTGGGCAGATGGGCCATCAAAAGCATGGCACACGCCTCCTTCCTGGGGACAATGCCTCCCTGGCTCATTGCTGACTCTCAGCAGAGGCTGCTGGCCCCCAAGCCCAGTACTCTTCCTCAGCAGAGGGAGGCCGTGGAGAGAGGGCAGACAGGTGGTCCAGGCAAGCAGACTACTGGCAGCTGCCCCTCCTGGGTCTGAAAGCAAATGTGAGCCCCTCTGTCACTGACAGTTGAAGGGAGGAGACCTGAGCTCTAGCACCCGCTGAGCTTGTGACAAACTATGGAGCCCTGAGTGCATCGCATCCCTACTTTGAGACACAGCTTCCTTATCTGTCAACTGGACGGGATCCCAGGACCCACTCAGCTCCAACAGTCCTGATTCCATGATTTGGGGTAGTCTTGTCTCTGTCCTTCCTGATTACCTGGCGATTCCCCAGGCTCATTAAACTAACCCCTTCTCCTCTCTTCCAGGCTGCCCACACCTTTACCCTGAAGAACAGCTAGGAGAGGAGCAACAGATCGAGTAATTCCGCTTCTGGGTATGTGCCCCAAAGAATAGAAAGCAGGGACTTGAACAGACATTTGTACTCCCACGCTCACAGCAGCACTATTCACAACAGCCAAAAGGTGGAAGCAATCCAAGGGTCCGACAATGGATGAATGGATAAACGAAACGTAAAGGAAACACGATGTATACATACAATGCAATATGATTCCGCCTTAAAAGGAAGGACATTTTAACACATGCTACAGCATGGATGAATCTTGAAAACGTTACCCTAAGTGAAATAAGCCGGTCACAATAGGACAAATGTTACACGATTTCACTCATGTGAGGTGCCTAGAGCAGTGAGATTCATAGAGACAGAGGGTAGAATGGAGGTTTCTGGGGGAGGAGAGAAAGGGGAGTTAGTGTTTAATGGATACAGACTTTCAGTTAGGGAAGATGAAAATGTTCTGGAGACGACAACCATAGGATGGGGTGGTGGGTCAGTAGGGATCTCCCTGAGACCTGTGGGACTAGGGAGCTGTGAAACCCTCCTGCGGTGGGCTGGAAACTTGCCTGGGGGCTGGATGTTCTAGTCCAGGATACGGAAGCATGAGCCTGAGGCTTGTTACGAGTTCTTTAATGAGTCCTGATTGCCAGTGGCCCCATAAAGGCCTAGTTTGCATATAAAAAGGCTGGCGGCTCCCAGTGTAAATTCATTAATAATAATTGGAGAGACCCAGGGCTGGGCCGGGCCCATTTTCCTCTGGTAGTGCTACTGACTGACCCCATCGTCCCTCCTAATTGAAATGTAAAATGGCAATTTATGCCTAGGCAACAAGGCGTGAAGGGACCACTGCCAGCATGGTGCCCCTTCCTCCCACTCCAGCTTCCCAGATCCTGACCTGCCTCATGCTGGGACCCCAGGTACAAAACTACCTGTAAGTCTGATGCTTGTGGGAAATTTCAGAGCAACCTCTATGTTTCTGCATGACTCATGTCTGGAGCCCTGTTTCCAAGCACTTCTGCCATGGTCAGTAGGCTCTGGCCATCCAGACTCTGTCCTCGCCTTGGAGCTTCCTTAATTAGAAAGAGCCTGGTTGGGGAATCACACGGCTATGAGTGCAAGTCCTTCTTCCTCCTGCTAATTTCAGAGTCTTGAAAGGGCTCTAATTGTTGCTTGGCTGTAAATGGGGATTAACAACTCCTCCTCCAACAGGCATTTGGGGGGATTCCATGAACGACCACAGGTAAAGTGTCGGGTGCAGAGCGAGCAAGCATTCACCAAATGTTTGTTCTTTCCTCTCTCGGCCCCCAGCTCAGGCTGCACCTTGTCCATAGCAGATTCCCTTTTCCTGATTCACTTTCAAAGGCTCCGTCCCTCTGCTCCTGCCTCTGTGTGCTTTTCCAGAAACAGCCCATCAGCTCCCACGGTCCAGCTGATTCCACCTCTCTAGGCCTCGAAGCCTGACAATTTCAATAGCTCCAAGTGCCCCAAACACAATGGGGACAGGTAGGGAGGCCCCAGTTCTGTCCATTGCTCACCTAACAGCAGTTCCCTCTTCTGGGAGGTGACATCCTGAAGCTGCATGTTCCACATGCTCTGAGACAGGACCTCTGCCAGCCAGTCATGTGGCCTTGAGCAAGTCCCTCAAACCCTCTGGGTCTCTTCATCCATGAAATGAAGAGGCTGGTTTGGATTCAATGAATTTTACGGTCCCAGTTCTATTGTTAGCCCATTAGATGACTTGAGACACATCACTATGGACCCTTTCTGAAGCTCCGTTTTCCCATCTCTAAAATAGGGACAATGTCTGCTCAACTAGCTCAAAGTGTGGTGTTCACCAACTGAATGCATGGTGGAGGGTGTAGGAGACTTTGTGGGGAGGTGGGCCTCCTGGAAATGTGCATTTATTTACTAGGAGGGAAATATTTTACTATTCTAATAACTGGTATCTTGCAACCTGGTACAGTCGTACAGGTGGGTACAGCTCTGGTAGGCAGTAGGTAACACGGTTACGATTCTAAGTAACACGGTACAAGGGGTTCAAGGATTCAATCCAGTGCACATTCCACCAGCCCATCACCTTACACATACTTCCCATGGGCTATCTTGTTTCATGGCCCGACACACGTGATCACCCCATGTTCATGGTAAAGAAACTAAGAACACCAGTTACCTCACTCAGTTCTCACAACAACGATGACCTTCACATGATCATCTTACTGCCTTCGGTCCCCAGATGATTATCTAGCTTCCATACAGCATGCCTCAAAAACACACTGCTCTTCTCTTTTCAAGGAAGATACCTCTCTGAACTTCATGGGAAAGGTGGCGGGGAGGAGAACACCTGCATTTAACAAGATCGTTTGGCGATGCATGCCTACAGTGAGAACCAGGCTCCCTTGGAGGCTGTTTTGCCTGTGGCTGCATTCTGCAGTTGGAAGAGTGGACTGAGGGTGGCGAGTGGCGGTGGCTTGAGGCACAAGAAAAATCTTTAATGTCTTGGCTTTCAGGAGGCAGCTCCAGCAGACTCCATGTCAACTGTCCAGTCCCGTGCATATTTTGGTTTCCACTTAAATGCACACAGAAGTAAAGACCACACAGCTAATTGCAGGGAACACGAACACCAAGCTGAAGAGTGAAGGCAAAAAAGATGCCTTTCCATCTACCGTGTCCAGCATGTCGGTGGCTGCTTTACACAGAGGTTTCATTGCATATTTAAATAATTGAACAAGGACATAAAGAATGTTGCCAAGCTGGGAGAGAAAGGGCTGCCTTCAGGGCTGGTGCTGCCTGGGGAGGGGGTGGTAGGCTGTGGATTTACAGCCCCCAGTGTGTTTACAAGATGAGGGCTCTAACTCTCCTGGTTATTACAGCAAGATTGGGGGAAAGTGAAGCTCAAAGGAGAGCTGGGTGGGGGTGATCTGCAGGTCACATTTCCCCTCCATGTCACCTCCGCCCTCATCTATTCCGAAGGCAAGCCAGCCCCAACCCCAACCAACTCCCAAATTTACACTCACCTTCTCAGACCCACGGTGCCCAATGCAAAAATGTAACGCACCATATATTTTCTTGCTGTTCCCCAAGTTTATAATGCCATTAACGTGATCTATGATGGGCTGGTTTATGGAGAGAGGAAAGTAATAATACTGAAAGGAAAGACCCATAACCTTAAGGGGGGAGGGGCAGACGAGATTGATGGAAAGTGCAGTTGTCTGGAGAAATGGCAACCCAGTAATGGAATGCCGGGAGTAGGGGCTGCGCAGGGCCTGGAAGCAAGTTCTTTAGCTGGGTTTGGCTTTGTTTTCTCAAAGGAGGGTGAAGGGCCTGGCAAGGGTGGCTTTGTTGGCTCCTCTGCAAGAAGGGAAGCAGAATTGCTGACAAGGCGGGCTGGCCTGATCTCCCTCAAGTTCACTTGGGGGATCAATGCCCTTGACCTTTCCCATCACACGGTGTGGGGCTTATTTCAGCCCCAGGGGCAAGCAGCAGTCTGGAGGCCAGCACCCTCATCACCTTGCCA